GCAGGCAGTAGGGAGAGAAACAGGTCAGACACAGAGGTATATTTCTGTTTCATAACTTAATGTAGATTTGTCTGCTAACCTGCTTTAGCAACACACACACACTGATTTGTGCTAAATGCTATCTAACAAGACGGCGGCCGGCTTGAGATTAACTGTTACATTAAGGACTGGCGAGATCGAATCATAACTTCAGGGCACCTCGTGTGGTTTGGGCAGAAGATGAGACCGACTCATTTATCAGATGGAACATCATTTAATGTCTGTGAATATTGTAATACTGTGGAATGTGAAATAATTCCCTTTAACTATAATTATTAAAAGTATAGGTTGATGCATTCATAATTATATTTTTCTTTAGTGGCAGCTTTACACCACCACTCCTGTATATGATGCATTCAGAGCAGATCAAAGCTCCGTCAAAGCTCTACTCTATATGGTCCACTCTGGATCAGATGTAAGTCTTTGTATGCAGAAATATTTGCATCCTTGAAACCACAGAGACCCACACATTACAAATCTCAATTTACTCCCTACAGTCTAATGTAATCTCCTTTTTCTTTTGTTGGACCCTGCCTGTCTCATAAACACTCTTTCAAACTCCGCTCCCACAGTTTCCACCACACTTTCTGTTTAAATGCTGTCGTCTACGAGCTCCTCCAGAGCAACACTTTGTGCAGCTGCTTTCACAGCCTGAGCTGGACTCCCAAAAACCAGTTAGCTGTTTTTTTTTTTATATGGAAAATGGTGCACTTCCATTTAATAATGGCTAATAGATGTGGGTTTTTTTGACACAATAAAAGCTACAAGCATGAAAAGTGGGCACTTTGCTCAGCTGGCTGCAGGCTGGATGCTGACAAGGGGAGGTGCAGCAAAAAAGGCTTCCTGGTCTCCTCTTGTGGTTTGAGTTGGGCTACTGGAAAAGCTAAAAACCATAAAATTAGTTTGGAGCAATAAATAGTTTCAACCAGCTGAGGGGATTTTTTGCCTGGACAATCAATTTTTTGGATGAAGTTGCCAGTCATGCTATGCTGCTGCTGCTGCTGCTGCTGCGGCCTTCCTGACTCAGTGTAATGCTGAGTGGGAAGCAGTGGGTGTGTGCGTGGAGGTATATTGACACTGGGGTGTCTGGTTGAGTAATGGGGGCGTAGCAGAGTTTAGATGGCTTCTATCCTCCTTCCTATCCAATGCTGGAGAAGGTCATCACTCATACAGACGGAGAGAGAGAAGAGGGGGGGAAGCGGGACGGAGTTCGTCCAGGCAGGAAAGAGGGAGAGCGAACAAGCAGGAGGGCATGAATGAGACAGAGCGCTGGCAGCGAGAGGGACAAAGACAACGAAGGCAGAATGAGTAACAACGAGGCTGACAGCGAGAGGCGGAAAATGTGTGTGAAGTGTGTTGGGAAAGAACTTCACACACATTTTCAAAAACAGGATCCAAAAATGACACGTTTTAGCCATTATTTAATGGAGCTGCACCATTTTTACAGATACAAACGTGGGTTAGCTGGTCATGGGTAGTCTCAGTCAGCCTGTGAAAGCATCTGTACAAAGTGTTGCTGTGGAGGAGCTTGAAGAGTACAGCCTGGAACATAAACTATGGGAAAGAGCCGAGTGTTTATGAGGCAGACGGGGTCCAAAAAAAGGAGGGATTGATCTACATAAGGTCTTGACTGTCGGGATTAACTTGAGATTTGTATTGTGGTTTCAGGGTTGCCATGGATGCACATGTACATGCACTTGAGCAACATCCATCCATCCATCCATCCATCCATCATCTATACACCGCTTAATCCTCACTAGGGTCATGGGGGGCTGGAGTCTATCCCAGCTGACTCAGGGTGAAGGCAGGGGACACCCTGGACAGGTCACCAGTCTATCACAGGGCTACACTTAGAGACAGACAACCAAGCACACTCACATTCACACCTACGGACAATTTAGAATCACCAATTAACCTCAACATGTTTTTGGAATGTGTGGGAGGAAGCCGGAGAACCTGGAGAGAACCCACGCTGCACGGGGAGAACATGCAAACTCCACGCAGAAAGATCCCAGTGCACAGGTGACCTTCTTACTGCGAGGCAACGATGCTAACCACCGCCCCACCTTGCAGCCCTCATGAGCAACATATTTCTGCATACAGGCGCTGCTATAGCTCAACTGGTTGAGCTGGCGTCCCATGTACAGGGGCTACAGTCCCCGATGTGGAGGTCATGAGTTCAAATCCTGCTCGTAGCCCTTTTCTGCAGGTCCTTCCCCAATTCTTCTCCCCCACTTTTACTGTCTCCCTCTACTGCTCTATCAAATAAAAGCAAAAACGGCCAAAAAAAAAGACTTTAAAAAAAATAATATTTCTGCATACAAACGCCTACATCTGACCCAGAATGGACAATCAAGAGGACCTCTAATATATCTGACAGACCTGTGTCATCTTTGCACCATCACGCTGGAACAGGCTGACCTGCTTCCCAGCACCGAGAAACGCTTTAACACACGAGCACTGTGATGAGCCACCAGCTGGACCACTGCAAAGCTCTGAAGCCTCACTAAAGCACAACTGACACTCCACTCTGTGCCGTCTAATCCACACTCCATCACACAGCGCAGCCACTCTCCACTTGTCTAAATACAGATTTTAGCTGAATTCGGCGGACAGATCACCAGACATTCTTTCTTTTGGCGCAGTAATCCACATCTTGGATTTGTGCCACTGCTTGTGTCTGCTCTGCTGCATTTTCTGTGCTAGTGAGAGAAAGTGACATCCAGAACTTCAATGGTAAACAGCTCTGCTTTCAAGCAGTATTTTGTCAGGAAATCAAACCCAGAAGACAAATGATAAACAAACAGCTACAGGCTCCGCAGCTGTTCACTCTGTTGTTTTCTCTTGTTCTGGTTTGGAAGATGAGGAACGGTAGAGGAAGGATACCCGCGGGCCTTTCGAGATATAGAGAAAAACAATCCGACCTAAAAAGGTTTTGACATATCTGCTTTCGATAATTCTAAGGGGTCAGTTTTAATGTGTGCCAGGCTGCATTGTCACCAAACAGCACAAAAGAACAAACATTAGTCAGGTTGTAATTTCGAGAACGAGCCCTGGAGCTGCTACACAGACAGTGAATAATGGAAGTGCTTGGAGACTGACTGCACAACATTCCAGTGGGATATGTGAACATTTGCTTTTTTTCACAGCTGGAAGCCCCAAATAATGTAGAGCTCGGGGAAATCTCACTAAAATAAATGTCTGCGCCGTCATATGTCTGTGAGGCTGCACGGACGCCTTGATGTCTAAATTCTAGCAAACTGAAGTTAAGCCAGTCAAGTCAGCCATGTTCACCAACTTAGTTTAGCGTGTTAGGATGTTATTTGGTCACCGGCATAATAAATGAAAACTTTAATAGTGAAATGGTCTACTTCTAAGGTATATTGGTCCTCTAAACAAGATTTTTTGAGGCAATGAAAGCTTATTTAAAGCTGGTCTTAAAACACAACAGACAATATTTGATTTCCATTCAGTGAGTGCAGCCTCACCTGAGTTAACCTTCAGTGTTCAACTGAGTCTTCTGACAAACTGCCACGCTGTCAGTCCGGCTAACTCTCCTCCTCATATATCCTTCATTACCTGCTAAAAACCCACAGAGGTTAGAAAATTATTAACCATCAATTAAATCATGATCCAAATCCTTCTACTTACATTTCTCTTATGCCTGGGATTTCATTTTGGCAAGTTCACCTCCGTCCCCGAGAATGAGTCACACTTACAATTCCAGTGAGATACTTCTGACACTTGATTTAAAAAAAGTTAAACATCACCATTAGCTCAGGCTTTTCCTTTGAGGAAAGAGTCCCAGAATCTTGACAGCAGCAAGGAAAAATAAAGTAGATCAGGCCACAGTTCTGTGAGAAACAGGGGGGTAAAACTTCAACCCAGCAGTAGTGCACAAGTTGCGTTATTAGACCTAACAATTCTAAATTATTGTAGTGCTATCAACAGATGATGACCTCAGCTGTAGAGGAAGCCAGAGAACCCGGAGAGAACCCACGCTGCACGGGGAGAACATGCAAACTCCACGCAGAAAGATCCCAGGTGTCCTCACCAGGACGCCAACAGGCAACCTTCTTACTGCGAAGCAACGATGCTAACCACCGCTCCACCTTGCAGTCCTGATACAGTCAACAAAAAACTAAAAACACAACATACCTAATATTATGTACATGCATTTGGGAATTCAAAATTCTGCCATCTTCATATAACAGCACAGGAAACTGGCTCCTGTTGGCAGTCAGGCGACACCACAAAAGGGAGGATCATTATTTATCACACCCTACCTCAGCAAACTGACTTCTGCCCCGCCTCTGAATATATTATAGTGCAATCAGTTTTATTGAGGATATATTGAGTATACAACAAATACCGTGGGCACTCATTTGAGCTGTTTCAGTTTGGTTGAAAACTAGTCTACTTTGCCAGCCCACTCTGTAGTACATACCAGTTTGGCTGCACCTCTAACAGAAACATCAAATAAGTATCTACAAAGGAAGGGAAATCAAATAGCTGAGTGATTTTTAGTAGACGCAGAAAACTAGCAAGCTAGCAGGCTGAGACGTAGCCAACACTTTTTCTACTCCATCCTAAAGGTGCCACAGACACCACATGGACAGCTACAGGTAGGAAAAGATAAATGGCAGCCCACCTGTTGATCATCATCGTGGAGCCAAACTCGTTACTCAAGACATTGATGGTAAACTCCAGGATGTGTGCACAAATCCTGTATAGTATGTCACTAGAGGAGAAATGTTTGTGTGATGTTGCCATCTAGGGGTTATTGGAGGTACTACCATGTGAAGAAGTGACCAGAAAAAACTACTTGTTCAGCGTGTCAATGTTTCGGTAACGTCTAAGTCTTCGTTTACACATTGAATGGGTCGTCTCAGTCATCGTCACAACAGCTGCCCCCTCAACAACAAACCATTCAAAACACAGTACATATAATTAAAATATAATTTATTTAAATCATAATTTAGTCAATAAAATAATAAATGCCCAAAGACAAAAACACGTAGAGTTCCCACTGTGGGATCAAATACTGAGGTTTTGATGTTAACAGATATTTAAAAGAAGTACAAACCATCATAATTTTTCAAACAGATATTCATCCGTCAGTCATAAAAGCTTTAAATTAAAACCAACCGTCATAATCCAAAATGGCTCCTTCAACCTTTGAATTAAGCGTGCTGTCAAAAGTGTCCAAACTTTGAGGGACGAGTTCCTACGTCGTCAACCGCTCCCTCCTCAACGGGCGCTCCAATCGTTTCAGCGTGTCCGATGTTTCCGGCCGCATCCAGTGATCAGTGGCGACGGTTTCAGCAGAGCTCTGATGGTCGGGATTGTGAGGCGTAAAGCCCGAAGGGGAGGAGTCGTCATCTGACAGATCCAACAGTCCTGAGAAAGAAAAAAAAAAAAGTTACAAAGGCACTTCAAAAAGTTCTCAGCCAGAAACAATGGAGGTAACTGTGAACTATAAAGGTTTATATCACTGCCACTAAAGCTCAAATGTTTGTTGTCAATTCTTTGCAAGGAGAGGAAAGCTTTGAGTCTTCTTTGCTTCAACACTTGAGTTTTTGTGGCCAGTGATAGAAGTCTTTATAGTATATAGTTAAAGCTCAAAATGGGAGTTTCGCTCCTTGTTTCTGGCTGAGGCTGAGAAGTTTCTGAATTACCCTCATATATACTCACCTTGAAATTAAATCAGTGGGTTCCGTTACAGCCTTGGTGTTCAGGGCTGCTACAGAACTCACTGGGTTTAATAAATGAAGCAATGTAGGTACTTGTTCAACAGGAATCAACAGTTTGAAGGGTTATGTGAATACTTGCTGAATTCAGACAGGCCTGGGATTTTCAAACCAATTACAGCTCTGAGAATTTTAATTAAGACATAAAAGTACTCAACTTCATTCCTGATAAACTACCTTCCTGGTTACTGCTTTTATAAAAAATAAAAATAAAAAATGAATAATTACATCAAATAAGTTACTACTGGAAGTCTTACCGGCTGTGCCACCGCGGCTGAGCGCCGTCGGTTGACCCGTCCTGTTCAGGCTCCTCCACTCGCCGCCCGGCTCTGCTTCCTGCTGCAGCCTGTTGGCTGTGTGGGCGGAGTAGTCGTCATGATGGCGAACGGGTTGGCTAGAAGCAGCTCGTTCCTGAAAAACAACAGGTGTTCACAAGACAAGAAGACAAACCGTTAGAAAATAATATTTGTACAAAATAAAGCTCACACACAGAGGCGACGTGGCCGTTACCTGTGGGTGCTGGGACTGCTTGGCGATCCTCCTCCGTTCTCGAGCCGACAGCTGACGGTTCTTCTCCAGTTCTGGGGTCTGCGGCACTGGAGAGGCGTCGCCGAGGGGGTCTAACCACAGCAAACACAGAACAAGAAGTTAATTAGAAGCAGCCATTTCAACTACACTAAGTCGAAGAGGATACACTGCAGTATGTTTTGTTGTCCCCATAACTTTCCATTCATATCTATTATCCTGCCAATATGAGGCACTTTAATAATTATAGCTAAATTATTTCAAGGTGTAAAGATGTGCAAGTAAATAAAAAGTTTTACATCCTAACATGTGGAAACTGCATCAATTTCAAACGAAGCATAAGCACTATTTGAGCAAGTTCTCGATGATCTGATTCATTATCTGTGATTAAAAGTCTGACATCTCAAACGATGCATCATCCTTCTGCCACATGAGCTGGAAACCATTAACATCTGAAGCACAACTGGCAGGAGTTCAGTTGTGTTTGTGTAGCAGATGAGAACAAAGAGTTGCTTTGGATGGTTGTTTGGTGTGAAAACTCAGGTCTTGTCAAGTCACATCCAAATGTCTGCAGCTCTATGACTAAATGGAATTTCAACACAGTAAAGCTGCTGTAGTTTCCGTAGCTGTGTCGTGGTGCTCTTACCAATGAAGGCGCTCTCTGACTCCAGCAGTGAACCTCTCGCAGATCCTCCAATCGCACTCCTCTGCAACAAACACATGACCTTTTTTCAACTAACTTGTACTTCCCAGGAGTTATAAGTCAGTTAATACAGTACATATACTTTTGTATTTCTGTGTAGCTTCAACATTATTTCTCACCAGGTAGTGATTTTGCTGCGGTGGGGACAGGTCAAAATAGTCTGCAACACAAGAGGGACATGAGGTGCCGTCAAACGATAGCAGAAGAAGTAGATCCCATTTTGACATTAACGAGAAGCATCCCAGGATGTTCAGATTTATGATCAGTCTGGTGGAAATGTATCAGAACAAAACCTACCCAGCAAGTTTAAATGTCATTTAACCATCTCTCCCTGCTAACTAAGGCACGTCAAAGGTACAAGTAGTTATCAGCTGTTTTGTTTCCAAGCAAAATTAGGGAAAAAAATCGCCCTGCGTCCTCACCGTCCTGGACTGTCGACCTCTGGCTGCTGAGCTGGTGATATGGCTCTCTGTAGTCCCGTCTCCTCCTGGTGCCCACTTCCTCCAGCTTAGGATCCTCACTGGAGCCCAGCCTCGACTCCCCATCTGCCTCACAGACAGACACATAAACCAGCTCATAATGATGGTCTGCAGTAGATTACACATAAAACTGTAGGACCGACTTGTTACCTGTGTACTTGAGCTGAAGGGAGTCGTGGATTCGCAGCAGGTTTCTGGGCTCCGTGTTTTTGGAGTTGGGCCTGCGCACCGGAGCCTGGAGCCGCAGCCTGGCCATGTCGAACACGTCCACCGCGGGACGCCCCCGATGTCTGGACAAAGGTGACAAATCAGGACAGGACATGTAGTGACTGATGCAACCCGATCAGGAAGAGAACAGGGGAGTTTCTGAAAATCTTCATCTTAGTTTTTCAAAAGTCAACTTTCAGAGCGTTTGTGTGGAAGAAAGGCCAAAACACAAAGAACAAGCTGTTTTAAACAACATCCATATACATGTGGACAAGGCCTGAGAGCTCTTTTCTTACATGACCTGACTGAACTCCTCCACTGGCATACTCCCACCCACACCCTCCGATCAGCGGATGCTCACCTCCTGTCCACCCCCATCCGGACCAAATACCGGACCTGGGTTGACAAGGCTTTCTCCATTGATGCTCCCCATAAGCATCAGAGAATCCTCCTCACTCTCCATATTCAAGACATTTTACCATTTATCTATTACTTTTAGCCATTTCAAATGCTATGACGATAACACTAAGTGTAGTTTGTCTGACCTGTTACTCAGAGGAGAGTCCAGTTCCTCCCAGTCGCCCTGTTGCATGTGACCCTCCAGACGTTTCTGTTCACTGCGAAGCTGCCGACGCAACGCTGACAGCTCCCTGAACAAGTCTCGTTGGTCTCCTGAAAGCACACACACACAGTCTATATTAGTATTAATACCAATCCTCGTACTAAGCTTCAGCCACTACATCACACTCCAGACACAAACCAGTCAGAGCTGCACTGTCAAAACATTTCTGCACAGTCAACAGGACACACTGAACCTCAGATTTGACCTGTTTGCTCAAATGTTTGATCCCGGTCTGAAAAACTGAGCATGCACGTATACAGCACCTGCGGCTCGAAGCTGGTTCCTACAAGCAGGGACAGGAGGAGACTGGAGACCCGACAAAGAACGCTCCTGAAAAAATATAAAAACACATTAGAAACTTGTATTTACCCAGGAAAAACTGTGCTGGAAAATATCCTATTTTATACCGAGACAGAAAGTTTTTAGTCCTATGTGTCATCTAACTGGACCAAGAAAGGACCGGATTTCTTTTCAAGACAGCCAGCATGTAGTAACCCCTGCAGAGACACTTTTGTGCCGTTTGTTGCTTTGCGGGTGTGTGTGGGACTCACAGACAAGGGGGCTGTAGACTGCTGGCTGTCCACAGTGGGGGGTCTGGGGGTGTACTGGTGCGGCCCATGTTTTTTCCGCAGAGTGGGGATGGGAGGCGAGGGCTCCCTGCAGACCTAAAGACACACAAAACGGCCGTTATATAAAGTTTAACCTGACTACGTGATGGGTGTTGCCAACTGTCTGCGTATTAATTTAACACCGACAAGGAGGGGATATTAAGAGTGGTGACTGGTGATAACAGGTCCGAGGTTCACTAGACCTTGTAAGTCATCTTATGATAAATATCTGTTGACAACAGTGTCAAACAATGTGATAGCAGAACAAATATTCCTACTTCTTACCAATAAAGGGCTCAGACACACCAAGCTGACACTCAGCAGCACCACCGTTACACTGCTGATTGACTGCACCTATCTACTGCCTGTACATTTTCCAGTATATTCAGCATTGTTAGCACAAGTTGCTTCTTTTCTGCAGCTTTTAGGGGCAGCGGATAGTGAGAGAGAGAACTCTGAGTCACCCTAATGAATCCATGATTTCGCCCACACTTGACGTTTTTTATTGTTTTTCTCCCGACACAAAGCAAAGCAAATCTTTCAAGAGGCAGCTGCGGCTCAGGAGGTAGGTGGTCCACTAATCACAGGGTTGGCAGGTTCGTCCTGTTCATCTGTCAAAGTGTCCTTGGGCAAGACACAGAACCCCAAATTGCTCCCAGTGGTCAGATCCACAGCCTGACTGACAGCTCATCTCCATCGGTGTGTGTGTGAATGAGTGAAGCAAACTGTGGAGTGCTTTGGATGAAAGTGTAAATATGATTTACCCAACCGCATGGAACCGGTAGGATAAGGTACCTAATAAAGTGTTTTTTTAGATTCCTAATATAGAGTTTTTCTCCCTCTTCATACATGTGCAGAACATGTATACGTCAGCTGAGGGACATTTCCATAAGTAGCTCACATGACTGTTCAATGGTTTCTGATTCTTTCATTGTCTTTGTCTCTGGGCAGCATGAAACACTCACAGACTTTCTCCATTTTTCTCTCACAGAGGCACAAAGTTTTGTTTCTTTTTCTTCTTTAGCTGTTTTTTAGCACTTTTTTTTTTAGCAATAGGCAAATAACTGGTTTTGTTTCTGCTCTGTTTCTTACATCCACGTGTAACATAACCTACACACAACCTTCTGATGACACTACTCCAAAGCAGTTAATGGAAACAAACCTAATTCAACATTTCACTTCACTTCAAACTAGCTTGACAATAACAAGAAAACACATCTATAGTATTTGTATTGATACACGTCTTTGCAACTTGAAACAGAACCCTGAGGCAACAGCTGATCACATGGAGCATCATGCTGAAGAAGAGATTGTAATACTCTCGTGTTTTCTACTGTCCCCTGCATGTCCATTGACTTGAAAGCCAGTGGGTTGCAAGACAGTTTTACAATAAGTACAACTGCCTGGCAAAAATGAACAGCAATTAAATCTTTCAAATGATTTTAAGACTAACTTTTAATGACACTAAATTACACAGTGAGAGTATTTGCTGCCAAGTCTATGAGTGCCAAATGTTGAACTAACCTCCTCCACTCGAGCCTGCCTTTCTCTCTCAAACTGTCTCCTCAGTGCTGCGTTCTCCTTCTCCTCTGCCTCCTTCTTCTTCCTCTCTGCCTCCTTCTTCCTCTGCTCGGCCAGCTGAATCAGCTCCTCGTTCTTGGCCTTTTGCTGAGAGACAAAGAAGTGACAGATGAGAGAGGTACACAAGGGCAAGATAGAGGGAAATGAGAGAGATTTGATGGGTCGGCTTTAATGTTTTGTCTGGCTTAATTGAGTAAATCCAATAACCAGAGGATCAAGTCCAATTATTAAACACAGACGTACAAAGTATGTTTCAGTTTCTAGCTCCTCACCTCCATTTCCTTTCGTTTCTTCCTCTCTTGTTCTTCCTCATACTCCCTCTGGATGCGAGCCCTCTGCTCTGTCAGCCTCTTCTCCTCTTTCTCCTCCTCCAGTCTGGTTCGTTCCCTCTCCTCTGCCTTTTTACGCATTTTCTCCTCAATCTGCAAACAAATACAGGTTAAATAAATAGTCAAGATAAACCCAGAAAAGCTCAGAAACTTTTACTTGCAAGCCATCAGGACACAAAACTCAGTGCACTGTGCTGAATAATGAACACTTTTCTAAACCAGCCAACTAGATTATCAAAACCAGTCAGCTTCTAGCAGAAGTGATGTGTAACAAGACAGCGTACCATAAAACACGGCTACATTAAAGACCACCAACTGTTCAAACCGGTACCTGCTGTTTGAGGTAAGCTTTGTACTTGTCCTGCTCCTGGAGCTGCTGCTCAGTGGGCTGGTTGGCAAAAACTTTGCCTCTGGCAAACTGTGGTGTTTGGACATGGGTGAAACCTACGATAGATGGAAAGATGAAAAAAAACTCTACTGTGAGTTGGGCAAGAGAACAATGTAACACTGATCCTTACAGCCATTCTGTGGTGCTAGTGTGGTGTCGTGCCAGTTTCTTAGTTGAGAAACAAGTCTGAAGTTGTTGTACACAGACTTGGTGAGTCAGAATCAGCGGTGCAGTTAGTGTTACTCTGTATTCGTTGAATGCTGCGATGCCTTGTGATTGCACAGAGAGTATTGCTAAAATATTTTCTGTTTTTATGTTTGACACATCTTTGTTTTACTACCACTGCTTTCTTCAATCACCATTATATTACATTCACTAAAGCTCTTTCTACAAGATAAGTCAGTAAAACAACCCAAGCTGATGTCTGGCAGTGTTTTTCAATAGTTTTTTCTTGTGCATGCATCAGAACAATGGTGGAAGTGCACTCTGCTCCAGTACCTGAGACCCTCTCGTTGGGGTCGGAGAGCTCTGCCCGGCGGGCCGTCATGGCAGCCGTGGCTCTCCTCTGCCACTGCTCCGGATTGCTGTTGGCCTCCTCATTCAGCTTGTGCATCTGATTGAGGTCAGCTGGGCAACAGGAAAGTTAGGTTAGAATAACAGAAATCATTTGTATTTGCAACTTGTACTATATACTATCATCTTAGTGTTAACTGTTTTGCACTAAAACACATAAAGTCAAATTCCTTGTATGTGAAAGTCTACTTGGCAATAAAACTGTTCTTGATGTTATTTTATTTAAATAAAGACAGTCCACACACAGGGACCCACCAATGAGTTTTCCGGTGCTGTCCCTCAGCGGGGCTCCTCCTCCACCTCTCCCCCACGGCTGGTGGTTCTTCATGTCTGCCTCCAGCTGGGCTTCATATCGGTCCTTCTCCTCCCTCTCCAGACGCCTCCGTTCCTGTTGCTCCTGGATCTACAGCACAGTATTTCTCAGTTACTAAAAACTCACACAAAACACTGAAATAAACTTTATGCATGGTTACTTTTCCTCGCAATTATGTCTAACTGAGCCAAAAGGGAACGGAGCACATCTCGGTGATCGATATATATTCTATTGCTTTTCCAGTTAACTGCATTACACTGGGATGATCATCAAGATGCTTACAGTGGAAACCAGAACCTCTCATAGGTAGAATCATAACACCAAAACAAAAGCTCTGAATATGTTCTTAGTTAATTTTCATGAAATTAAGCCTGGTTCTCTGATGAGGGCTGCATGAGCAAGTTAAGAGCTTTCTGTTCTAAAAGATGCCATCATTTCTGAACAGGGAACAAAAACATAAACAACACAGGAATTACGTTACTACTGTACAAACATGGAAAGCAACTAACTTCCAACAGTGAGGATCTACCTGGGATGGGTTTGCGTGATAGAAAAATTCCTGGCGAAAATATCCAAGCTAAGGAGAAAGGTAGAGGGGTTTTTTCCCATTTTTTAGAAGGAAATCGGGGACACTGGAATGGGACTGAGGTGGGATAAGACTTCTACAGCCAATTCTAACTACAAATTCATCTAAGCACAAAACTTATACTCTTTTAATCTTAGCTGGATCCGTTTTACCTTGTTACAAAGCCCGCTGCTCCCACTCCCGGAAGCTTCCTGCCAACATATCACACACTAGGATGGAGTGAAAGTTCAAAACTATCTGCACCTCTCTAGCAGTGCTGTTTCCAGCCAGATAAGACCTGAGCTGGAGTGGTGCTGTTCATACGGAGCCGTATTTGCGTGTTTACTCTATGAGACCTGCCAGCTTTCTCTAAAAATGTTAACAATGGTTCCTATCTGGGTTTTTTATCTGTTTGTCTGAGCACATCCCGTCAACATTCTGCTTAGACACCTTAAGCCTGTCATCACTGTTTGGATTAGTTGTAATAGAAACCCTGAATTTGTCATTTCATCCATATATATCTTGGATATGTAACCACAATACAAGCCCTGAGTTTTAGAGATAATTCTAGCAGATGATGATGGCAGAAAGAAGGCTTACGTGTTGCACCAAATTTGAATCTAGATTCAAAATTAGTTGAACCTACCTGTTGCTTTAGAGCCTCTCTGTAGCTCAGTATCCTCTCCCTGGTTGATCTGGACCTGTCCGAAGGGAAAACTCTGAGTTCCATGTCCCCAGTTGCAGGGTCATGGCTGGGTCTGTCGGAAGAGATGCAGAATCACACGGTTGAAATCTAAACCAGGATTTTTCACCTCTTTAATGACACTTAATAGTTCCACTATTGCCTAGATGTTCTATGAAAAGCCTGTTTCTCTTTAGAAAACAAGGCTATATTCTTTCCACTATGCCATAAATCCTCTATCTCTTAAAGTTTGTTGCACTGAAATGAGTTTACTTGAGTTGAGGGGTTTTGCTAACACGATTAAACCTGTGTGCATATAAAACAGATACAGCTCTGCTACCTTATCTTATTTTTAACTAAAAAGTTTTGTGAGCCTTTTTTTCCCAAGTAAAAGTGCAGAGAGGATGTTTACTGTATTGGAGGCTCAGGGAAGCTGCTCCCACTGTGCTGGCTGTGAGGACTGTGGTTTCCAAAGTGACTGGGCACAGCTCCACCTGGTGGTATATTCCAGTAGGACACGGGAAGGCCAGCACCAGGAACAGACAGGTGACCATCTGGACAGAAAAACAACACAACAACTTCCATATATCCATTGCAGTATTAATAAATTATCTTACTCCCATTTACCAGAGGTCACTACTTACAGTAGGCCATGTTTGGGTCGAGCAGGTTTCTGGTGCCGTAGTAGTGATGCGGTTCTCCATACGGGCTTCTGTAGACCTCACTTAGAGACGAAGGAGGGTGGGGAGGAAACAGAGGATTTCTGGGAGGAACAAAGTTGGACAATATATGATTCATTATGTTATAATACAGACTGAATCAGGAATCAAATCCAAGACTCTCCATAGGTCTCACTTTTCTGTCTGTGTATAAAGCTTAAGGTATATTTGATGGCATGCCAACCAACCAATAATAATCCACGTCACAATCCGCTTCATTAAATTCTTCTAACTCATCTACAGCTTTATAAGTTACTGCAAACCCAACATTTCCTCCTACTGCTGCTTCACATTTAACTTGCAGAGCACAGGGAGGCTTTTATTGTGAAAGCATGAAATCAGGTTACATTTGTAATTGTCAATAATGAACTCCTGTTTTTAAAACAACTCAAGTTTATTTGGCTGCCAAGCAGTGTTGCTTTTGTGTTGTAATTCTGACAAACTAGCTTCTCAAGAAGTGTTGCTCTTACCAACAGAAACCTAAAGTGTGACAATCTGAAATATTAGAGATCATAGCTAATGCAACTGTAGAGGTGTAACAGATAGTACATTAAATTAACAGTTCAGTAAAAATGCAAACTGTTTCCAAAAACGAAAATATCTCAAAATGCCTCATTAGCCATAATTCACACTTTAACAGTTCAGGCACTCTGGAGCTCAAGTATAAAATAAATAAATGTCCATTCAGACAACATACTAATTATTTGCTTGAATGAACTATAAAAGGCAGAAGTGCGATGTCACCTTAAAAAAGTAATGCCATCTCGCTTGGTGACCACATTTATTACAAGAACCTGTCCAGCATGTAGCATGAGCACTGAACTGCAGATTCTGGATGCACAGGAAGACTGACTGCAGCAGAAACTCAACATGTAATGTGAGTTACCACATCATGCATGTTTAATAAACACGTGTCGGCCCAGCTTGTAAGGCTAACCCTGCTAGCATGCTGTAGCTAATGGACAACTGGAGCACTGACAAAACGTTCTGGGTGAACTCGCACTCACAAGAGTATGTTGACATCAGCTGAGTTTAGTCCAACATGACGTACTGAACTGAGGAATTTTTATACTGCAGCAAACGTCATGTAGACTACTGAATGGTTCTGGATAAACACAGCCCTAGATGAAAGGTTTACGTTGAAGCATTACCTGGGGATGTCCATTGCGCTGGGGAAAGAGGGGGCGGCAGGCTGGGAGCTGGGAGGCAGGCCCAGGGCAGAGCTGTACTCCAGCACCGGGGACTGGAAGGCCACATAGGGCTGCTCAGGAGGAGGCAGGCCTCTCTCTCTAACACCAGTCTTCTCATTATGGGTGAGCGCTCTGGACGACGATCCACTCTCCCCTGTTGGTGAGGGCTCCAAGACCTGAGAATCTTTTCTCCTGCTCAGTCCAAACTGCCTGATTCGGTCCGGCTGGATCGTGGACAGACAGAAATGAAAGACTAAGAACAAATGTACTGTTAACTGTAAATACACTCTTCAACAAACTAAATGAGGCTCAGCTGTCAGACGCCCACTGACCTGCTTCTCGGGGTCATTTGCTCCTGTCGCTGCAACTTTCAACTCCAAATCCTTTTCCCTGCAACAAGGACACAAACATGTTGAGCTTCTGACTTACAGCATTTATTACTGCACTGAAATTTATACTTCATCGATCTTTTTTTTCAGCCGCTGCAAGTCTCATCTGTGTGCCTAGACTGTTAAAACGATGACTTGTTAAACTGGACATCGGTGGAGGACGATCACTGAGAACGTACCTCTTCTTGTTGCGGTGCTGTTCAGCTATCTGCTCCTCCAGCTCCTGTCTGTAGCGATCCTTCCTCCTCTGCAAAGCCTCATCTGTGTCAGCAGCTCCTGGAAAAGTGGGGTAACGGTTATAAATCATATCAATCTTGTATATATATTATCTACAGCTTGGCAAGTTTTAGCTAAGCCTGTGCTGTTTAGAAAGATTTTAAAATCTCCCTTAACTGAACAGTTTGCCTCAAAAACCCTTCTTATGATTGTCTAACATGCTGACGTCACCACTGTTGCTCCATGTGCGTAAATGCGAGCAGCTCACTCTGTCTCTGTGATGTTTTTGGATGAATTTTGGTGATGAAAATGGAAAACTGAAAGAAGTGCACGTCCGAATGTTGCTAATGTGGAAAAGTTCCTGCCTGTTTTTTCGCCGTGGACTTATGTAATTTATCCCAACGATAGCTTTCAGCCAGTTTGAGCAGCCAGGAAGAAATCAGAGTGGTGAGAAAAGAGGGAGACACCGACACTTTCCCTACATTACTGTTGATCCCTCATTTGTACATTTTTCTGTATTTTAGGCTCAGTTTTGACTTTATATTCTTGCTGTCCTCTTTGCCTTACTGTGTGTTGAGCAACTGTATTTCCCTTCAGAGATCAACGCAGGATCTCTTTATAAAGAAAGTGTTGGTTGCAAAAGACAGAAAGTTGCTCCTACCTATTATAAGACCAGTGGCGAACTCAGCCTCCTCGTTTTTGGTCGGTGGCCTCCACCTCCTTCCCTCCCTGCCAACACCTTCTGTGTTCTTGTCCCTGAAAAAGCCAAATACGAGCACACTGATGTAGAAGGATCATCCACACATGAAGCAACAGCACAAAGGAATATTCCCTCAGCTACCTTCCATCGGTCCTGTTGGATCGTGCCTTCTCATAACTGGCCTCAACCCCCAGAAGTCTGCGCCTTCTGCCTTCCATCAGCTCCAGCTCGTCTTTGAAGTAATCCTCCTCCTCCTCCTCTGACTCCTGGTCCGCTGGCCTCCCCAGCCGCTCACGATGCCTGGGAACTTCTGACAGCTGCTCCTCGTCCTCCTCCTCGGGGCAGAGGTTTTTCACTTCCGCGAGGCGCAGAGCCCTGTGAAGCCCTCTTCCGTCCTCTGTTAGAGTGGCTGCATCCCTCTGCAGGGAGGGCCGCTGTTTGGGCACAACACCAGCCGGGTTGAGCAGGTGCTGCTGGAGGAGATGATATATTGCTTTAAATTAGGGTGTGAAAACATCATTGACTGTTTTAATGCCAAGTGGCAGCAAAAAGCTTTCTGTTTGACAAGAAAGGCCAGGAATCAACCGTATGCATTTATACTGCTAACACTTGGAGTGGAAGGATGTTTCAACCACTGATCCATTATCTTGAACCAAGGATTTGAGCTATTTATCCATTACTTTTCAGCCAAACGTTTTAGCTGGTTATCCATCATCTATACACCGCTTAATCCTCATTAGGGTCATGGGGGCTGGAGTCTATCCCAGCTGACTCAGGGTGAAGGCAGGTTCACCTGGACAGGTAACCAGTCTATCACAGGGCTACACTTAGAGACAGACAACCAAGCACACTCACATTCACACCTACAGACAATTTAGAATCACCAATTAACCTCAACATGTTTCTGGACCTTGTGGGAGGAAGCCGGAGAGAAGTGGTTATCTATTAACTTTTAAATTATTCATCCATCAATTTCAACTCTTATCCATAACTTTCAACTAAAGGTTTCATATATTTATCCATTACTTTTAGCAATATATTAAAATCATTTATGAATCTATTTCAAATATTAATCCGACGCTTTAAGCAGACTCTTTAAACTTCTCCACTCATTCACACAAACTTTAGCTCAGATGGTGTTCAGGTATTACAGATGACTCAATATGTGGATTTTTTTTTTTTAATCAGCACCATGATTTCTGTTTTGTTCCATCAGGTTAGCTGCTCTACTATGTTTCTATGTAACCCCTGGCAACAGCAGAAGTTGGCCCTGCAGGACAAGATGCTCCTGACTGTATGGTTTTTATGAAGATCATTCAATAAATCTTTATTAATAATAAATAAGTAATTAATGGGAAAGTTAGCACTTTCAAGTAAGTCTGCTCTGCTATTCATTTTAGCAGCCATGAGGTAAAAATGAGGAAATTTCGCTGTTTTCTTTCGTAAAAACATAGATGGTGAAATAGTCAAAATTTGCTCAAAAAAAACCAAAACACACTCTGTCCAGCCAAATATCACATTTTTAGACCATCGGAGATCATTACATACAGACACTTACCTTGACAGATCTCCTGTTATCGAGGTGGATTAAAGGTCCAGGCCCACCGGGGTCAAAGTGGTTCCTCTGTAACATAAAACGTTGTCATGATTTCAACGCTGCGGACTGGGAAGATTCCAAGAAGTAAAAACATAAAAAAGCAATCTAAGGCTCAAGCAGCGAGAAACTGGGTCTCAGATCAGAACCTGGATCCTCAAATGTACCCATAACAACCATTACGACAGGGATATGTTTCACCAACAACATAGTTTACAGTAAAATTTGTGTTGCTGCAGACACCTGAACACAGATTATGGGATACTGAAAGCTTCAAATGATCCTCCAATTGTGTTCCAAAATACAAAACAAGGCTGATGCACTTCATGACCACACTGGATGGTCTTTGGACAAGCCCGGTTCTGTTTGCCAGATACAACAGAGTCAGTCTAGAGATGCTAATTAGCTTTTTTTTTTCCAGTGTTTCAGTCATTAAAGTTAGCATGTGGGCCTGAGAAGAGCTTATGGTGCAATTTAACTCAGCGTAAAATAAGAACAAAACTTCAACAGATGTAGAACAAAGCCTGAACTGACCTACATGTGCTACAAACAAACACACGAGCAAACAAGGCCGTGACAGTCACCTGAGCCATGTAGCGCCTGTAGTCCATCCGGAGCTCATGCTGCAGCCTCTGCTTCTTCCTCTCATACTCCACACCGAGGGGCAGGCCGACACTGCAGCCGTCCTCTGACAAAACACACCCATCAATATTTAATAGAGCCATAAGGTGAAGCGTCTCATGCCAAAACAAGACAGCTGACACTGTTGGGAAACCCTGAAACACGTTGCTCATCTGGCAAAACACACAGTTATTACTGACAGACTGTAATGAGAGGGGAGAATGTGTGCTCTACCTTTTCCCTGTGCTGCTGGCTTAGGAGGGATGTTCTCCTTAACAGTGGATCCATACGCTCTGTATGGTTTTGCCTAAAACAGAGGAAGGTTATTGATTAAAAGACATATACAATAGGATCAATATTACTTTGTAGGTTCTGATCAGTTTAAGCACATGCTCCCTGGAAGTCAAGTAATGTCTTATTTTGATTGCATAGTTTCGACACACACTGGTTATTGTACCATCTTTTATTGATTATTGGATCCACAGTGTGTCCTGACATTGCAATGTGTGCATGTGCAATAGTCACATCGATGGGAAGTGAGAGAAACTAACTCAAACGCATTATTCTGCAACCTTTATGGCTGCTTCACACAAAAGGAAAACTTGTATGTTTCTGATTTTCCATGACTAATCTACAAGAGGAGAGAAAATAATTTACTCAAATTTAAGACTCCTCAGAGACACCAAGTGTTCTTTTCTTTTCTCTTTTTTTGTTTTGAATGGCACACTTTATTGCCATGTGCACAGCAAAATGAGCAAAAAAAAGGAGAGAAACACAAAGAAAAAAAAAGATTTGGTTGTAAAAAACCAACACCACATCAGTTGTAGGGAAAGAAAGGACAGAAAGGAAGGTAAGCAGTGTCATGCAGCTGATACTCAGGGCAGCACAACTAATTTAACCATTTAAATCAGCACCACAAAGTTCTGTATGAGTGCAAAGTCAGATCTGAATGCCATCCAAAGCAGAACAATAGTCTGGGTGCCTTTACCATCTAGGAAAGCTTCTAAATGTAGCTGAGAATTTAAAGTGGCTGTCGTATATGTATATCTTTGACACAACAGATTTAGAATTTTTTTCAGAAGACCTATAATAAATCTATGAAATTGGTTGAATTGGGGGCTGCATTGGGTGAGGACACCCAGGATCTTTCTGTGTGGAGTTTGCATGTTCTCCCCGTGCAGCGTGGGTTCTCTCCGGGTTCTCCGGCTTCCTCACACACAGTTCAAAAACATGTTGAGGTTAGGGTTAGAGTGAGTGTGCTTGGTTGTCTGTCTCTAAGTGTAGCCCTGTGATAGACTGGTTACCTGTCCAGGTGAACCTGCCTTCACCCTGAGTCAGCTGGGATAGACTCCAGCCCCCCATGACCCCAGTGAGGATTAGATGATGGATGGATGGATGGACTGTATCACTCATATTGGTATTCTTGAAGTCCCTGTCTGGTCATTGGCCCCAGAGAGGATTAAGTGGTGTATAGATCAGTGGTTCTCAAAGCGGGGGTCGGGACACCCATGAGGGTGGGGGAGACAATTTCAGGGGGTCGCCAGATCATTGTATATTTTTTTAAAAAGCCTACATTTATCAAATAAATGTGTATTAGGGCTGTCAAAATTAAAAGTGTATACTTCTTCCCACTCCTTTTTTGAACTTGTTAATATAACGATTTAATTATGTGATATTATTATTCATTTCAAAATTATTTTCTTTTGTTTTTATGCTTTTTTCCTTTTATTTGTTCGAAATAAATTCAATTCATTCATTCATTCAAAGGAAAATGAAAATGTTAATGTAAAGAGATTAATCTGTGGAGCCACCACCTTGGAGGACGTAGCTCAAAAAGTTTGAGAACCACTGGTATAGATAATAGATGGGTGTTTATTTCATGAATATATGAAAGAACACATGATTGTTTTTAGTGACAAAGACATCTATGTAAATGAGTCCATCACTGAACATTACGAGTTACAGGAGTCACTGGAAACTACACAGTCCTGATATACATGGTCTCCAAGTGTATGGAAGCTTTTGTTCATGAAAATGTACTAAAATGAATGCCTATGTAGGAAGTGAATCAGTTCAGAGTAAACAAGCTGACAGTGGTCCCTGAAACTCACCTTTATTTCCATGTACGGAGGGTCCTGCTGTAAGCTGGCCTTATCTTCAGCCACTCTGGCCTTCCGCTCCCTGATGAAGTTCTCCAGCTCGTCGTCCATCTCCGGCTCACAAAGTTACACAAACCGGCTGGAAGAACAACCTGCCATAGCAGCTGACAAGAGAGAGAACACACAAACAACAGCATGAAGCTGCGTTTGAAACAAACTACAGCACCCGGTGTCGCCGGTTAACGGGAAACCGGTGCCGTTACTGTCTCTTTAACTGTCCGTTGTCAGGCAACCACAGCGAGCAGCGTCGCATTCCTAACAGCTAGCATTAGCTTGGCTGCTAACAATATAACATTTTGTTCATTATATGACAGCTACTGTGATTCTAGCACAGTTTACTAGCAATTCATGTTTAGTTAGTTTAAAGTAAAACGCAGCTAACGTCTGCTAAGATGTTAGCATCAACCAAAGGGAGGCAAAGTAAAGCCAATGAGACCGAACAACACAGATAAGCTAATGCTAGCTAACACCTAGCTAGCTCCTTCCCCTGCCGGCGCTATCTTTCTGTTCGAGCTCAGCGTTATCATCGTTAGAATCAAACCGAACCTACCAGTGAGCGGGCTCTGGACAGTGTTTGTTAGCTTGACGGCGCCTTTGTCGTTTTCTTTAAGATTCACATCACTGACAAGTGTGTTGTACCAGTTTCCGGTTTGGAGTGTCAAAATAAAACACCGCGTTTCTCTGCGCTGCTGACAGCAATTCATTATAATTACTTCATCAGTCATGTAACCTGCTGCAGCCGATTTCTTTTTGATTACTTTATGCAACAAGGTAATGAATCATTGAATGCAGCTGTTTAAAAGGTCACTCTTTATCTTCAATGTGATCTGTCAATTTAGGTTCCTGTCTTAATGTCTGAGCCTGAGGGTTATTGCATTATAATACTGTCTGATATGAAATGATGACTTGCAATCTGACTCCAATCCATAACTCAGAGCCTGTCACAGACTCATAGTAGCTTTGTGTAAAACAGATTTCCTGTCTCTGTGCTCTGTGTGTTCCCTCTGTTATTATCTGGTTGATGTAGACACCAGTGTATCTCCAGAAGTTAGAACATCGTGAAAAAGTTGAATACTTTCCATCAGTTATTTAAGAAAATAGAATAGTCTGGACTCCTTATATGTAAAGGGAAATATTTCAAGACTTTTTTTAAATTTAAATTGTGATGATTTTGACTTAAAGCTCATGAAAATCAGAAATCTAGCATCTCAAAATATTACAACAATCAATTAGAGTTTGAGTAAATTACCATATACACAGTATAAATACAGTCGGTCTAGTTCACTACATGGTGCTGGTCCACTGTGTTTTATCAAATCTAAAGTCAATGCAGGCCTCTACCAGGACATTTTAGAACATTTCCTATTTCCAGCTGCTGGCAAGCTTAATGAAGATGCAGATTTCATTAGTATCCGCCCACAGAGCCAGAACTACAACCAGATGGTTTGCAGAGCCATGACATTACTATGATTAATCAGGAGTATTGTCAAGACGGAGGTGAAAAACACTCGACCCAAAAGTACAGATGAGCTGTAGCAGCTTCAACACTAACACACCGCTGACACACTGATGCTTCACTATTAATAATCTGATGATTTCATATTATAATATGAATCAGTCAGAGGGACCAAACCAGGACTTTAAACTAGATTTTGCAGCTAATCCTTAAGTACAACTTTTCTTGCAGGTTTTTTACTTGTGATCAAATATTGTTACATCACTGTGTTGGTACTTTTAAAATATTTGAATACTACTTACCTTTGTGGGAGAGTGTCCACACCATGCAACGCTCTGTTCATCTTATTGTCTTTTCTAACTGATAGAAAAAAATAACTAGGACCGATTCAGTCACATTTGCAAATTTATAATATTAGGTGTACTCGCTTGGTTGAATATTCTCCACTATTAAAAGACAAATTGTTTGTTTTGTGGGCCAAATCAGTTTTTTTTTTCCATCAGTTTCACATTTTATTTTGATGGCCAAGTGCGACACTTCCGGTCTTTTGCTTGCAGCTTGACCGATCAGAGCTCAGCTGTGTTGCATGGCTCGTTAAGGAGGTGAGGAAGCTGCTCACACCCACCGGCCCCCGAGAGGCGACCCGCTCTGGAGGGAACACATGTTGCATTCATGTCAGAGGAAAAAAAGACCCTTCTGCAATTTTGGTTTTTTAGGGGAGAAAAAACGAGGGAAAAAAAAGAAGAAAAAAAGCAGCCCAGAACACTTTGAGGGGCACTACTAACTATATAAACTATATAATGAAATAAAAAAAGTTATAATAAAAAACCAAAAGAAAAAAGGAAGCTTTCTATTTATAATAAGTACTTTTATTTGGTGACACTTTAGTTAGAAGCACTAAATGAATTTTATTTAAAATCTAAGTCCTTGCTCTCTTATGTCAGTGTACCAGAATATCAAGTATGACAAATATGTCTTCATGGTGGCAACAAATCAAGAAAAAGCATATTTCTTTAAAGTCAGTTCTGCAAAACATATTCAGCCTGGGCAATTTCTTATTTATTGTATTACTAGTAAATGGAGGAAGTCCAAAATTACTGTAAGGGCAGGTAGAGTTTTCTACTTTTTTTAAATGCCAAATATTGTATGTCATCTTATTCAACCCACGTGAGACTTGTAAAAACAATAATAGCAATACAAAATTAAGTAAATAGTTGCATATATGTGCGTATATATACACATAATTACAAGTCATGATGAACAGATGAATAAAAACTTGGATCCCCTTGGTGCATTCATTACTTTAACTTCATATTTAAACCAAAATTGCCAAATAAATTGAACTGAATTGCCTGTTTTTGCACTTTTTGAATGTAAAGTCAGACATAATAAAATCTGTAGCTTTGGTAAACTTATATTAAACATCAAATGTCAAAAATCTGTACTTATGTTTTCAATATTTATGGATAATATTCAACTCTGTTCATTCTACGTAATAAAACACTTGAATAAACACAAACACCACACAACTTTTACTTTGCAATTTATTGCTTATATAAACGCTCTCTAAACAATTTTTGGTAAAAATAAAATCTATCAAGAATAATCATAAATAAAATCATCACAATGACTTTTACATGACATTATATTGCACAATTATAAGCCTTAACAAGAATCACAGAACACAAGTGTTGTTGCTCAGGTTGTGTGTGGAAGGAATGTTCAGAGGTCCGCGGTCGACGACGAACACCGGCTGCCTTCAGAGAGCAACAGAGCGTCTGAACGTCAGCTGTCTTTGTTGTATTTAATCAAGTCTGCAGATTATCTGCTCTAGAAATTGTCCAAACAATCAAGTCATTTACTAGACTGCCATGATTTACACTGGAACAAAACATTACTTCAATTTGTTCTGGCACAGATCTGGTATTTCAGTGCTATTGAGGAAAAAACAAAACAAAAAAAACAAAGACGAGTGTCACATAATGTCAAAAATACTATTTGTTCTTTAGTGAATGTGGGCGTTCTGGAACAAAACTGTCAGACTGCTGCCTGGATAGAAAGAAATCAAATTCCCATCTCGTTTCTCCGGGCAGGTTCAGATCTGTACCACAACAAAGTCGACCACCGGCCAAGCGTCGGCTCGGCTTCTCGTCGTCTCACTGCAAAGTAACAGAATCAGTGTGTCTCGGCTCCGACCAACACAGCTGCTTTCTGCCTGAGATTTAACCGAAAGACCATCTCGCCGTCTCGCGTGGCAGTTTATGATTGGTCAGCTACAGAAAGGCCTGAAAGATGAACCAGTGGAGCCTCAGTCCTGGTCAAAGACTCCGTGTGTGTGTGTGTGTGTGTGTGTGTGTGTGTGTGTGTTTTGGTTTGTATGTTCAGATGTTGTCCACCTCCGCTCTGAGTTCAGGACACAGCTCCTTGAGTAACATTTCCATCAACACCTAACAAGAGAGAGACAGAGAAAATCATTAGTTTGTAGCTGTAGCTGTGTTATATATGATATAATAATGACATCTGGCTTCACGACAAAGATGATGTTTGACATATTAATGTTCTTACATAGAGGAGATGTTTGTTGGCACTAGCCTCCTGCAGAGCATTGAAGATCTTGATGATTCCGTAGCGGGCATTCTGCTGGCCAACTAGATTCGCTAGTGCATCTGATTAAGAAAACAGGAGAGAAAAAATAATGCTGACACAGATTTCACAGTTATTTTTGTCTGGATATTTGTGATAATATTACCACTAATCACTGAAATAAGGCAAATAAACTACTGATAAGTTTAAACGCCTCACATTGGGAAACTCTGCTCATGTTGTGTTTTGGATGTGTTAGATAAAGTTGAAAATGCAAAATAAAAGCTGTGACAATATCAAGACACTTACTGCTACCATTGTTCTAGAAAACACAAACATGCCTCCCAGCTTTACAAGGATGCAGGAGCTTTATCCAGTTACGAAGCAGAAAATCAGGGACTGGAAAATAGTCATCAAGTTAATTATGTGCATATTCCTGCCCCATCACTGCCCGCTGCCTCTGAGCTGAACCGTTCAGAATGAGCAGCTGTCTGTCCGTCAGGTTTATTTACTTTCCAGAGCTGTTTATGTTAATTCTAAAATGTCTCTGCCACAAGTAAAATACAGCAAATGTCCTGCTGTTGGCTGCAGGAGTGAACACAAGGGTGTTCATGCACTCCCAGCATCTGTGGAACAAAAGTTAATGTGGATTACTTGTATTTTTATAGCAATGTCACCAAAACAATTACAAAATCCTTAGTGTTAGCATGTTGCACAGCCAATGTGGCTAACATTACCATTAATTTTGATCATATAGAATACAATACAGAAGAGAACAGAAATACATTATAGATCCCCAGGGAGATATTCTGCACGCCCACAGCACTGAGCTCTGTGGAACCTGCAAAGCTGAGGACGACTCAAACGCTGGAAATATTAAAACTGTTCTAAAACAATAATTATGGACTGGATGGGTTTAGGTGGTTGTTGCTCTGCAGATCTTAGAACCATGATGTCTGACAGGACTCACCATACACAAGGTTAGAACAATGGATGTGCTGTGAATTGTATTTCATATTTCAGCTGCGCAGCTCTGATTTGTCAGTCAGACACAGAGGGAGCCTTCCAATATCAATAATTCCACACTATATAGTACGCCAGAAAAGATGCATAGTACATCAAATGTAGTACAACAAAAACACTCGGATGTCTTATTACATCGGGTCAAATTTTGCATTCTGCGAGTCAGCGTCCTTTCTGGCCACTCTGACCCACAATCCTCTGCTCAGGTACATCACATACGTCACTGTGTCTCACGGGGGTATAAATGAGTTCAGCTGCTCAGAGCACACCAACAGATGACAGCTCATTTCTCACTACACACAGCGATGGTGAAAGTTTAAGGCATATTATTGTGACAAAGTAGTCCTTCCCAGTCGTGGGTATACTGCATGAAACAGCAGTACTGTGTCGGGCAGCTGTAGTGCTGCTTAAAGTAAAAATACAAAGTGTGCGATTTAGAATGCAGCCAGAGTCTTTGTCCAGAAAGGTGACAGCAACAGCCTGCCAGCATTTAAAGCTACAGACGCTGACACAGCTTTTTAATTATATGGAGAAAAAAAAACACTATTTTAGTGTTTTAAACTGAAAATTGAGACACATTCTGAAGACATGTGAAACTCAAATTAATTTCTTCCATAGGGGCCTCTATGGAACCTTTAAGATCTACAGGTCACGGTTTCACGTGTGACTACCTGGGATATTGTCAAGTAGTTTCTGTTGAGCCCGCTCCTTCGTCTCGCTGCGTTCAGAATCGGTTCGGACTTTGACGTGTGGCGCCAGCTTCCCGTTGGGCCAGAAGGTGTCCCTGAACACACTGATGTAACACACCAGCATCTGCTCACAGAAGATCCAGTTTACAGTGTCCCGGATCTGTCTGAAATACAGCAGAGACGATGTTAAGGTCAAAGTTTTGATCTCAGAAAGACAAACACGAAGGGGAAGTGATTGCATAGTTACAATATCTATCAAGCACAATAAATTGGGCTAATAAAACATCCAGTCTCCAGAGCCAGTCTCAAATCTGTCATAAAGACTAAACACCAGGTGTTCTCTTGTGTACTGTTACCTAGCAGGCTGCTTATTGCCTTTTAACACGTGTACATCCAGGCTGGGATGGTGTGAGGCTGTGCAAAGGCACCACGGAGCTTTGAGATAAGTACCAATGTCAACATGCTACCTTGGTGGTACAATATTTACCATGTTCTCCAGATTAGTATATATTATGCAAATATTTGCTAATTAATACGAAACACAAAGTAAAGTATAAGTGCAAATACCAAAATCACATGAAATCCATCCTATTTCTTTGAGATATTTCACTCAAAACAACAAATGACAGTTCAAGTTATCAGGGATCATCGTCTGGGCACCATGAATGTCTGTAGGAAATAACATGGCGGCCTAATAGTTGTTGAGATATTTCCTTCCCAATGTTGCCATCCACAAAACCACAACACTGGTTAAAAAAGTCACTCATAAGCTCAAATGTGGTCTCAGAATCATGGTGAATAAATGAGACAAATTAACTGAGCAACATATTTTATTTACAACACTTCCCAGGGTGTGTTAGAGTGAAGTCTGTTGCAGCTGTTATTTATTCAAAACTGTAGGGGGCTTTTTTTGGGAAAAAGGACTTAACTCATTCCAGTACTTACTTGTTGATAGTTCGTCCAAATGTCACCTGGACTAGTGCAATTAGAGTCTTCCTCACCCACTTAAACACTGAGCAGAGACACACAGACATAGAGAGAAGGAAACTGATCAGATAAATTCCCTTAGATGCAGTTATAATTCAGGATTTGGCCAGTAAACTGCTCACTTCCTCTGAGTTCAAAGATCTCTCCTATGAGCATGAAGCAGGGTTCAGCCAGAGCGTCCTTCCGTCCGTCCGCTTCATCGCCGTAGTCCGACAAGTCGCTGTCATCGTCACCGTCCTCCTGTAAACAGCACACGCAACGTAAACGAGGATGCAGGACGGTTACAGCGCTTCACGAATCAATGCTGCTTTATGAGCCGTGCATGAACACGTACCTCAGTGTGGGAGAAGAAATCTCCAGGTAACCTCTCCAGGAAGGAGGCCAGAGAGAAAGACGACTTCTTCTGAATGGACATCACCTTCAAACATGGAACGAGAGAGGATCATACAGTTTACATGATCACTATAGTGTCATTATTGTACATCTCCTGGTGTGACTGGTGGCCCTTATGGGAACCAACTGTGTCAGTATTTTAACTGTGCTGTCAAAGCTGCTCAGAGATATAAACATATGCAACGGAGCAAAGAAAAGATTTGGTTCGTCTCAGCTGTAATGTGGTATTGTGTGGTTTATATCTGGTGTAACTCATTACCAAACATTACGAGTTCATAATTTCAGGCTTGAGGAACAATAAAAGCTCAGCTCCAGAAGGCATGACTGCTGGTTTAATGCAGCAATAATCAAGTTCCAATGCTTCATCGCGTTTTGGGTTTAAAAACAGCTCACGAGTGAACAAATACGAAACTGAGTTCACAACTGCCCTGAGGCGCTGCATTACATGGAGCTATTTTTAATCATCCAGCCTACTGACGGAGCATTAAAGCCTCAGCTCCCAACAAACAAAGCCTGTCACAGCACATACTCATAGTGAGGAATCTACGATATGTTGAGCTTTGAGAAAGGAGTGTTTTTCTAAATGGCACATGTGTGACATACAACATTTGTCCTGTCTTATAATAAAACATGAGAAGCTGGGTACCTTGAGGTGTTCCGGAGACGGACTGAGGAACGCATAGAGAGCCTCTGACTGGCACAACCGCTCATCCATCAGCAGACGCTACAACACACAAACACAGAGCTGAGGATCATCGACAGCTGCGATTAGAAACCAGGAGGAGACGCTGCTCACTTCAGGGAGACTGTTGAGTAGCTCAAACTAGTGTGAGGATGTAGAAATTAGCTAAAGTGCTGGATAAATGGTTAAAATGAGTGAGTTTAAAAGTACAGGCTCATTGAAACAGCTAGAAGTTGATGCATTCAAATTGTCACTTCACTTGGTAATCGTCAGAATTCAAACCTGACTGTACCGACTCTTTAAATGTTTGGAAAATTATTAGAACAGTATCCACTCTTATATCGTCTTAAATAACATCCCACAAAAAAGCAGTTCAAATGAGCTCATCTGATCGAGCTGTGGGGGAACATCAGACACACAAAAAGCATATTTATGGTCAAGTTAACAAGCATTTACTTGTATTTATTACAGGTTTCCCAGCTTGTGTTGTTTGCTTGTTTACCTGCAGAAAGGCATTGAGCTGCGTTTTGCTCTTGTCTAAGAACTTCTGGTCGATGGACTTGAAGGGAAGTTTGCTGAGTGACGGTAGCTGGAGTTTCTTCAAGGATGGAAAACACTGCGAAGGAGAAACACAGTTTAAACTGCGATTTAACAATAATGGGAGGCAAATATTTAGTTTACTCTTGTCATCCTGCATTAGCCAAATAGGATGTATGACTAACAGCAGGCAACTCTCCAGATCTCACTGCCATCATAAGCAATCTAAACCAATTTATTGACTCTTTTCATCACAGAGAGGAGGCTGGAAGTGCTTCAAACGGACTTCACTCTCTGCTTTTAGTGGCGTGTAATTTCAATAATTCCATCATCAAATTATTTTGCCAGTATTTCCGCCACAGCGCTGTAGAGGGAGCTTCACCCTCAGTGATACAGTGTGATCCAATGTGGAGAGCTGAAGCATTAAAACATCAAGGCAACAGTTTCTCAGAAAGTCCCAGCATAATGGAACATTTGTGGCTCCCCAAAGAAGCTTTAGTCAGTGTGAAAGGAAATTCAATGGCTCAGATTTCTTTTTTTTTTAAATATCGTTTTTTCAACAACTTTTCCTAATTGGGTCTTGGTCAAGCATAGAAGGTTTTTGTTTCTCAAATGGTCAGAAATAATGTTAAATGAGTCAATACAAACTCGTTCTTTTTACTGTACAGGAATCGTGGTTATCATCATGTATGGTCTAACAAAAAGTTCCCCTCTGATTCAGGGTAAACACTGCTAGTGGTGTATGCAGTACAACAAGCAGAGTGGTATCTGCTTTGCATCTTTGGTGTTGTGTTACCTCGGTTAGTTTGCGGTGTAACATCTGGAATTCAGTGAGTTTCCTCTGGACTATCCAGCGACTGTTGACCGCTTCTTCCCCTTCCACCAGGCTAACACACACGCTGTAAGAAGCGACCGTCTCTCCGCCTTCCTCTGTAGCCTGAAACAAAGTTAAACACACGAGTGTCTTAGCGGCTCTACACTACATGAGACACACAGTTTGCACGTGTCGCTGCACTTAATTTAGCACCGTTACACTTTTCCAGAGGGCATGAAATCATGACTCCATTCAGTTAGCAAGTCACAAGACAGCGGGAAAGAAAATGAGCTCAACAGTAGAAGCAACTAAGCAGCGTGCTGTATACTCGTGAATTATCTCAGTGAAAGTCCTGCATAGGGAGAGCATTGTCTGTGCTGCATGACTTGTGTCTGATTTGTTTTCACATTCTGAGCTGAACTGTATACGAGAATGTATTCTGGTTGCCCTGGTTATGTATTCTGCGTGGCCTGAAGGCAGCCTTTGCTTTGCTGTTAAAGATCCCTGCACACTCTGCAGGGCTCCAACAAAAAAATCTGTCAAGTGCAACTAAACATCACCAGTGGTCTTACAGGTGCGCCTGACATTTAACAGCTGAATCTCTGTAGCATCTTTTATCACCACCACCCACACTCTGCACTACATCACAGATCAGCAACCGTCTGCTCTGTGAGCTGCTGTGATCGATTCCTCCTCTCTGCTGCTGTGCCCTGCACTTTGACTCACAGGTGCTTCAATAATGTGTGTCTGACCCGTAAGGCTGAGTCACTGCAGTTTAATTAAAAGGTGGGCAGTAAATACATTAGTGACATTTGTTCATGGTGGTTTAGTTGAGTCATTATTTTACTATTTGCTTTCTTAGAGACAATACTAAATAACCAAGCGTGTCTTTTTCTATGTTTCCATCTCCTTAATGCACTTTGGTGGTTCTTTTCCACTCTGGTAATGGTGTTTACTTTCATTTACCAACTTTCAGCACTCTGGCTGCTTCCTACCGTCACACACTATTATCCCGTCTCATTTGAAATGCCAGTTGTAAACACTGTTGATGCGCCACGTCAGAGTAAAACCATGTGGGGGCATCAGGTCACTGTTGGATTGGGGAGGGGTCAGCAGATTGTTTGTTTTGGGAGCGGCAGTAGGCCAGCAGGCCTCCAGGAATTATGAATGACCGGTCAGTAATAAGCCCAGCACCAGTCCCTGCTGTTAGCTCTGCACCCAGCGTCCACACATTCTCAGCCTTTTTGTACCATCGTCCTGTGGGAGAGCTGGAGTGGGTTGTTTATCCCGTGGTTGTTTTTCTTGTTCCAACAGAGATCATTGTCACAGTGTGTCACGACATTCTCTTCATAACAGCACACTGTCGAAGCCAACCAATTTAACTTATTATTGCTATACGAGAAGAAAGTAGGGTTCACACCAGAGTTAGTCTTAAGCTTCATTAAAAGGTTTAGGTGACTGCGTTGCATAAAACAAAGCTTATCTTGAATCTTGAATGTCTTAGGGCTATAAACACTGGCTTGGGTCAGTTTCACAAAGACAGGCTTTCGATGTAGCTTCAATTCAATCTAACCAACAGTCACAGTTGAGTCAGATACCTAAATTTATCTGCAGCACAAAGTTGACAAATTCACGCTGAATTCTGAGTAACTTAATGCTTTTTCTCAAACTAATAACGTCACCAGCTCCCCTCTATCCAGCAGGAAACAGTGAAGTCCAAACAAATCTGAAGAAATCCAACAATATTACCCCCAAACCACAAACGATAAACCAGATTTTCCTTCTTTTGGACAGTTGATGTAACTCACTGACACCATGGAAACCGCTCATCGTTTAGAGTTAGCATGTAGGGTCAGTAGCTTACTTTAAATAAGTCAGCCTTTACTTTTGTTAAACTATCTAGCTTGCATTAAACTAACCTAAGAAGACAAATGTTACACCAATCTAACACTAAAGACCATCAACATGTCTTTATGAAACCAGTCGCTAATCCTCCAAAAACCATCTTGATTGAGGGTCATCAGTAATGGCCGACGACCTTCAAAAGCTAATTACAATGTGCTATTTGTTCTGATAAAAGGAATCATTGTTACCTCAGCAGCAGTAATAGTAGCCGTCCAGTGGCCCAGGTTTTCACACCACCAGTCAGTCCTTGTGATGTGTTGCTGGAGTTCACTGTGCTCCTTCTCCATGGCTCCGATTTCTTCCTTTAGTTTGCTCACAATCTACAAACACACACAAAAAACAGCTTTTAACAGCAGGTCTGCATAATTATAATAATTACAATAAGGAATGACATTAAAATGAGTAACAATGTAATCAGGGGTTATGGTGGATATTCTTTCACGATTTACAAAGATATTTATAAGAACAGATAATTGGGCTTTTCGTCGTAGGTCAGCCACAGAGTCAACATCCTGACACTGCAGACAAGTTCACGGTACCATGATAAAACGTTTTCACTAATTTTAACATTGACATTGTACGTTTTATGTTACCCTACTATAATCATTTGAAGTGAGCCCAAGGTCTGTTTTTAGGACATTTGCTAGTGTGTTGTTACCTTTTTGTCTGGTTTGGGTGCGTTCTGGATGGAGCCCAGGGCCTGCCGCTTGTACTCCAGTTTGTCGTAGAGAACGCGTAGTTTGGTAGCAGCATAGCTGGCCTGCTCATTGATGCCTTTACTGCCCTCATCACCAACCTCCTCTCCTACGTCTAGACCCTGACACTGCACACAGAGACACATAATAATAAAATACATTAAAAACAAGTGACTGCATACATATTTTAAAAAAAAACATACAAAAAGACAAATTTGAGTATGAATACAGATGAATATTCAGAGGTGTAAGCATGTGTGTGTTATTAATGTGTCTGACCCCTTCCTCCTTTTCTTCTGTGCTACATCGTGATTGGCTGTGCTGATCGTCTCGTCTGATCAGCCTATCGTAGAGGTCAGAAACCAGGAAGGAGGGGTAGTAACGTTCTCTCATCGTCTCAGCCACCTTTGAGAGCAACAGAAATGCTTTACTGTCATCGTAGAACATAACGACGCTGTGAAATGAAGGGATGCAATCACATTATCGTAGTATACAGCTTGCAATGAGAACCAAGGCAGAATTCACCTGTTCCTGAAGTCGAACAAAGACTTGTGTTCCTCTGTTGCCCACCAGGCTCTGCTGAATCTCCTTGAGGAGAAACTTCTCGACTGGAATCTCTCTGCTCTCCACAAAGAACTTCTGGTAGATTTCGCCTACGATTTGGGGCACCTCATTCTGTCAAACACACATGAACAGACAAATGAGAACTTACTTGTGTCCTTTTTTTCCATTATGTTGTGGTAATTTTTTATAACAGTCATCGCTCCACAGTACAAAGAAAATCCACTTAACATTTAACTGGCAATACGGTCAATGCAAATGACATTTGGTAAAGTACTGTGAAGTATCTCAGAATTGCTCCAGGCAACCACGCTGAAAGTTCCACTTAAAGTGACCCGATAGCTGAGTGGTGAAGGTGCAAAAATCCCTCAGCAGTGAGTCCCTGGTTTGATTCCCAGCAGGGGAACATTTATTACATGTCATGCTACTACTCTCTTTCCCCACAGGTATTGTCTGTCTAGACTGCCACTATGAAATAAAGATAAGAAGACAGACAAAGATTAAAAAAAGACCCAAAAAATGTTTTTTAAAAAGTAGTAGAATGGAAGCCCAATTTCAAATTTGAGTTCAGGCTTTATCAAACTTGTCATATAATTAGTAGACCTGAAGACCTTTGAACAGTGTAAAGTCTGTGGGATTCCTTTGAATGTCATCAAGCACATTCCTGCTTTATCCTGACAATAAAATGATTTTTCTTTTTTTAAATACGAAACTTAAAGCTTACATTTAAGTCTTTTACATATAAATAAACCTCCATAACATTCAACTCCCTGCCAAATGAGGTCACTTAATGCCAATTAAGTTCATCAGCACCATTTTTTTTCTCCATTTCCCCCCATTATACTGGAGTTTAACATCTGGTCTGTAAGGGAACATGTTTGGCATGTTCGGCATTGGAGGAGATCATACTCCTAGTCACTCTAAGAACCAGTAGTACGACTTGGACTACGCCAGATAAACCCAGGAAACACCCAAAACGTTTCCAATTTTTCAGATGAAAAGAACTCAGAGGAAGGATTAGAGTCTGAAAAACAAAGAGCTCAATGGCGAGGCCGACTTTATAAGCATGTGTTGACAGTGTTTGTGTAATCACTGTCACAAGCAGAAGGTGGAGACAAAAGTTGCGTGCTGCAGGTTTAAGGATTGTTTTATTTCTAGTTCTAAAAGCAGAACTAGAAGCATTGTTGAGATAAAGCCCGTGGAATGTGTTTGGACAGGTTACCTTGTTGGCAGTTTTCAATGTTTCCACCAGTTCCCAGAAGCTTATCAGAGCTCTCTTATCGACTCTCTCCATGTAAACTCTGAAATGCTCTCTGTAACCCGGGTTACACATAATGTCATCAAACTGGAGAATCTGGATGAGGAGAGCAGACAGAACAAAAAAAACAAAACATGAAGGAGCACATTTTATCCAAATCACAAGCCTTTGACGCAAGTTCATATCAGAATATAAGAAATGTTATATTAAATCATTGGACAGCAGTCTCTCCAGAGTTTCTGTCCAGACCAGCTGCATCACATCTCATCTGATCAGGCTCTTCATACCTTCTGGCTTTGAGGCTCGTCACCATCATCAGCTCCTCCCTCCTCATTGTTCTCATAGTTTGGTCCACCAAGCAGGCGTATCCGTTTTTCACATTGTTTCTTAGCAACGGTCAGCTGATTGATGTATCGCTTCATATCTCTGGCCCTCAGCAGGTCTGCTTTCATAGCTGCTGACTCTTTGCCTTTTCGCTCTGAGACGGACAGAAAGTGGAGGTTAGAGGAAAGTCTGATCCAGCTCAGGTCACACAGTAACTGACAACAGCAGAGTCGTCTGGCGTGGAGCCGCCGATCCATTGAGAATATGCAGCTACACACTGCTGACCTGATGTTGTGAATAGTAGCTGGACACTAGCTCGTGAAAGCCTAGTTTACTACATGTTCTTAATTTTTTGTGTGTGATTGTACATTTCCTGCATGTTCTTCCAGTTCTGACCTGGAATGATCAGTTTCAGGCAACATTTTACAGACAGAAACCACGCACTGACTCAAACTGGTTTAAATATTTCAGATAACTATCAGTCTATCTTTTCGGGTAAGGTGAGAACCTCACTGCATGATGCAAAAAAACAAAACAAAACACATCAACACATAAAAAAATCACCAGTGTAACTAAACAAAACAGGTACACAAGTTTATAAAGCTGACACCAACAAAAACAATGCAAAAAGGAAAAGATTATGAACACTATCTACTAAACATATTGGTATTGTGAGCATGTTTAAATGCATGTCCTGAGTGAAACTTCACACATCAAACTAGCTGTTCTGAACCATTAAAGTCATTGTTTGTTTTTTGTTAACATACTGTGACAGGAGAGTAAAGTCAGTGTCTACAGGCCACACAGAAAGTGAGTGACACAGATTAAAAGGTCACGTCAGACCACACAGCTCTCAGAGAGTTGATGCAACAAGAAAAGTGAAGAACCACACTGTTGTATTTTACGCCTGCACGGCAGATTAACAGAACACGAGCTAGCTGTCGAGCTTAAGGGGATTTTAAATTGAAACAACGTCGTGCTTGAATTTTCTTGACGTCTTTGTGTCATGAGGTGAAATGTGCTGCTGTCTCTACCTTTCTGCTTCTTGAGCTGAGGGAGGCTGCTGATGGTGGTGGCATGAATAATCTCTACCACAATCTGATACCTACAAAGAGATAGAGAGGAGAAAAATGCATCAGTTGTTATGATCAATTAATAAGTAAAATGGGCCGTCTTGGGAGGAAAAACTGAATGCTGCTGAAGTAAACACGATATAAATAGAGTGTGACATGTGGTAATGGTGAAATATTCAATGCACAGTATTTTTATACCGTCCAGAACACGAAGTACATCATGTCAACATGTGGAAATGTCTTCTATATTTATAGAATTAGCCCATTTTTCAGCAACAAGTCAGCACAAAGTCATTATTTCTCAGACTAACAAGACAGTATAGCAGCATCATGTCTACGCCGCATTAAGATCTAGTATATCGCCACAGAGACACTGTCTGTTCCCATGGCAACCCCTCAGCATCAAACAGATTAGTAGTTAACGGTGTCTGGTTAACATGTTGGTTGTCATGTGCATATACAGTATGGTACATTTAAGGAAGCATATGTGGGTAGGAGAGGGTGTCAGTTTGAGAAGTTTGCATATTTATATATTTATATATTTGTATAGGGGTGTGCGTGCTGCTGCTGCCATGCCTGAGTTGTTTGAGGAAATTGACATCAGCGGAAGTTGATATCAGTTTGATGAAGTCTTCATAGGAGGCAGCGTAGGTGTAGGCTTTCTTCTGCTGCTCAGCCTGCTGCTCCCTCTGCTCCAGCTGAGACAACAGCATCCTGTTTATGGAGTCCGGATCACTGAGCACCTCGACCAAAGGCTTCAACACTGGAGCACAAACACAAACACACAAAGACATAAACAGTAAAAATGTGTATATGGGACAACGATCAAGTGACTGTACGTGGGATTTCATATTAAGTGACCCTATAAGTAAAGAGGCTCCATTATTTCATATATTACTTTTCACAGCAGGAAAGGCACAGCTGGGACTAATAACACTCATGATGATGGCTGCATTCAAAAGGTCTCACAACATTATTGTACAGAAGTAAAGGACAGATTATGTCAGATTTTTAAAAATGGTCAACAGACACATCGACAACATTAGTGTGAAGTTCCTGAAAAGTTTACCAGATATATAAAGTCTTTAGCCTTTTTATTGGCAGATATTTTCACTTAGAACCGAATCACATTAACAAATGCTCCATTCAATTAGATTGTTCACAAAAACAGTGTCAGAGCGTGAGCACACACACATCACCAGGGAGGTGGAGCTGCAACATCATTAGTGTTTTTAATTACGCCTTCGCTTTTCCTGGTATCGTGTTAATAATGTTCATACGTGCTGAGAAAAGTGTGATTACATGTAATTCGTTGCCATCATGTGTTTAATTCCCTGCTTATGGAAGTATAACAGTGACAAATAATCCATCATCACTCATGACAACAAGAGCAGAGAATGGAGGAAACGTGACCATTGTTCGTACACTGTGGAGCTGGTTCAGTTACTCAGTAAAAGAGAGGAAGATGCACGGATGCAGCTCCTCTGACTTTATGAATTTTTTTCACCTAAAGCAGTGTGTGACATATCATAGCTGCTTTTTGAGGTCAGGAACAACAGACACAACATTTATAAAGCACTTGATTTAGCCCATATTTTAAAATCAGTATTCATATTAATGAGAATATGAATCATAAGAATACAAAAACTGATGAAAAATAGCTGCCTGCTTTTAACACCACGGAGGGTTACATTTAGTTTTCTGTTTTGCTTCACAGTGGCTTCATGTTTTTCCTCATCTTACCACCCTACTTCTGCAGTGCTGGAGATAATGGCATGCAGGCTGAAATCTTTATTAAAGTTCATTACTGATGAATTGTTCTCATGGAGAAAAAATACTTCAATAATGGTCTGATTTTATGCATCACCTGTAATAATGAAGGTACAGAAAAAAAAGAAAAGCATTCCAAAAAATAGCGTACTGTTAATATTTTAGAAATCCTCTAAAAATTTAGTCCTGAAGGAGCTCATGTCTTATTAGGAGGAATCAAGCTCCTCTCTAGTTAACTCGCTCTTAAAGCACTACTTCACTTTGTGACCTTTTCTTTTACACTTGAGCAGCACATTGGGTTTTATTTCTGTAATTTGGCTAAGTATTACCGAAGCAAGTAGCAGTAATATAGTTACAATGGGGGGGCTGTGTTGCATAGTGGTTTAAGTGGTGCTTAAGTAGGGAGCATCGGTGGAATAAAGTTAAGTCTGGAGCTGTGCAAATACAGCTAGTCTGCTACACAGTAAAGGTATAGACACACAAACTCAGTACCTTTAGTAGTGATGACTTCTGTGAGACAGCAGCGTAGTGTATGTGACTTGGCATCCTTTTGTGGCAGCAGACATAGCAGCAGTATCCTGGCTACACAGCGGAGAAAGGCCATCTCTGAGTCTGGACTGACCAAACAGGGATGGAGAGGAAACGGCCGAGCACATTCCTCCGGTCTGGATGCACACATTAAAAAGATAGTGATTAGAGCTGGGACATAAACAGAAAGAGACGGCGCCGTTTGGAAGCGTTTCTCTGTCACGCCTAGATATCAGAGCATATTATACAAAATGCTGTATGACTGACGTAGCTAACGCTGCCATCGTTATTCATAGTTCAGCTGTGTTGCCTCTCAGTGTGTTTGTGAGTGAACAAGACACACTGCGGCTGCATCTCTCCCAAACTATTGAAGAGGAGGGAGACCAGACATCTCTGTAGCGTGATCAAATCATAAGTCTCGCCCGACCTGCCAAGATAATAAAACCAGATGACGTGTGAATCATCCCTCAGTCTGCTCTCTGTGTGTGTGTAAGTGTAGCCAGCAGATGCAGAGGGAGGAGTTTTATGCTGTTTACAATGAACTGAATTGCTGTAATTTCTCTCCATCTGTGTACACAAAATAATGGTGCCTGGTATGGACACTGGTGGGGAGGGAAATCTTTTCAGTAACAAATCAAAAGGTGGAACATATTGCCTGATAAACAACAGTGAGTCACACCTCTGTGCAAAGAAAGCTGCAGTTAGGAGCTTATGTGTACCGACATTACAGCACAAACAACACATTATTTTTTGCTGTTTTTTCTAATATGAGTCCTTGTAAGGAAAAGGGGTGAAAAAAAACCAACTACTTGCGATTACATATGTCTGTTTGCGTACCTTGCAGACGCAGCCTTGAGGTCGGTGAAGTGTGTGTGAAGGATTCGGATGCTGTCGTAACACACTACGTTGACGACGTCTATGTCAGCAAGCCTGGATCTCAAGTGGCCGATCATCTGCCACCAGTCCTCTGACAGCATGGAGTACAACTGGCCTTCATCACGACTCAGAGGAACATACCAGGACAGGATGTAGTCTCTGTAGGCATAGTCAAACACTGGGGAGAGACGGAGAGAGAGAACTCACAGTCCATTTTTGCCAGAAGATGAATACCACCAAACAGACAGCTGCAGCAAAATAAGATCATATGAAGCGGAACACGTCTTTGGATTTCTATTTGAATCCTTCAAAAGATGCAATCAGTACTGTTTTACTGCCTCCATGCAAAGATGCCAGTCCTCTATTAGCAAATGACTTTTTAGGTTTCAAGCAAGAAGAGCTGTCCCAGCGGTTTCCAGTGAACCATTGAACAACCCTGTGAGGTTTCATTTCCCCAAAACCCAGGTGCAGCATATGAAAAAGTGGACGATACTTCATTCACCTGTTCATTTACTTTCATTACACGGTTTGCTTACATTCAGGAGGAAACCAAAGCAGAGAAAACTCGCACAGCTCATGAGGAACACATCCAAACTCCACACAGCAGGCTGCAGCTTTGATGGTGGATTTCAACCTCAGCTGGTGGGTTGTGTACACACTCATAGTGTACATGAACTTTTAAATATGAGTGGTTCTGCTTGTTCAAACAGTGCGGCACGGAATCCTTGGTGGCTGCTTAGTGGCTCTAATTTTTCTGCAATTATGGTTTAGACAAAGTAAAGAGTTTCAGATTTCGTCTCCAAAATATTGCGAGGTCAGCTACGACTAGATGATGCCTAAGAGCCACAGCTTACTGACAAAAACAGTCCTTACTTCCTGTCGTCATCAAGTTATGACTCAATCTCAGTCTTCTCACTGATTTTGAGGCACTGTACTGTTAATGTGAGTGTGTAGATCTGTCTGTGTATGAGGGCTCTTTCGGCCCCATTATGCACCCTTTCTGTGAGCCCACATATCAGCAGACTTTCCTGAGCAACTTCCCCACAGTTCAAAATGAACCTGGTGATATATAAGCATGGTGCCATCCCACAAAATGTACACACATTAAGCACGGATGGTGCAGGGAAGAAATCTGCTGGGAAGTTTGATACTGACAGCACCTGGCTGTTGAGGGTATTCACTGTACAGTTTCTACTTTCAGTCAAACATCCGCACAGGATTTACAGATGTTCACAGCTTTCCTGACTGTTGGTAGTTTGTTAAAATGTATAAGTACTGTAATGTCATAAACAGGGAGTAATCAACTGAGCAAATCAATAGCAAATGGGACAAAAGTCTAAAAAATACATCCTGCACAAAATACACAATTATTCAATCTTGCATTCCAAACCAGCATTAACTTTATGCATTAAAGAGAAAACCAAAGAGTGAAATCTCAATTAAGATTACTGCTGTAGTAACTGCACACCAATGTTACTGGTTCAGTTTTGCTTTGAAGAACAGTGGGGAACTCCCTTATCACTGAGTCAGAAGTTAAGGGGAAATTCTGCAAAAGACGTGAATCAAATCAATCTTTTCAATGAAACATCCTTCAGCCTTTAAACTGTTTGGCATCTGTGCACTATACAAGCATAACCAAAGCCCAGACAGCCGTACCCACACACGACACTTAAAGTCTGATAATGAAATCTGATCTGATGCACGGTGCACGATGTAGAAGACAAGACCTCCTTTCTCTCATGAGATATACACAACAGCCAGCTGTGGCAGGAATATCTGTTGGCCCGCTTGGGATTGGACCTCCTCCTACGCGCCAAAGACATGCAAGTTAAGCTAATTGGTAAATCTACAGCCTGCATGCGAGAACGATATATCCCGTAACACAAACCTGCGTCCCGCCTCCAGCCACTGTGACTGTGAGGAGTGCTTTAGAAAATGGGCGAAGAGGATGGATGGAAAAAGCGAGCACTCAGATAGCAGACAAGGATCAATTGTGCATTAGTGGATTTGTTCCATCTCTCAACTCGCAATTCAAACAACATCTTACTGGCATCCAACCTCATTGCCTCATATTCATGTACAAAACAATTCCCAAGAATCTCACATAAAGTTAGGAAAGTGTTTTTAAGTGGTTTCTTACTTGCTATTCTCAACAGCCATGTTAAGCTATAACAACAGATCCCTTGGAAGAACTTAAGTACTTTGCTTGGTTTAAATGCATCATTTTAAATAACCGTGCAGAAACACAAACTGACACAGCAGGTATTAAATGCAGACCTAATATGTCATCATAAACTTGTGCCGCACTACAACCAAAGGACCTTTTCAAAACACACGGGAGCATGTGCAAATACACACCCTCGCAGTAAATCCTGCAGCCATCTGTTACTTGACAGCCACACGTACTGATCCACTGACTGTGCATGTGTGTGTGTGTGACGGTCTGTGCCAACGCTGTGTGTGTTTTTTGAGCACGGCCTTCTACTGGTGTAAAGAGTGGGAGGGATCAGTGACAGGTCACGGTTGCTGGCAGAAACAGAGCTCCATCAGTCAGCAGTTTTCTCAAAAACAGAAGTCGCAAACAGTCAAAAAGATTTTTATGAACAAGCCAAGACACTCGCTGACAAGTGGACACTGCTCTTTGAGGGCTGAATGAAAACATGTCTTATAACAGTGTACTCACCAGTGAGAAGAAAAAGGAGGTCATTATTTTACATCACCAAAATCAAATGTTCTGTTACATAAGGTTCATTTACACATGAATGGCAGAGGTGAGCATTGCATTGCCAAATCATACAGTTTGCTGTGATACTAACATTTTCATTTGATAAAACTGGACATGGCATAATGTTAACAATATTTTTAGAAGTTGAACTGAGCCCCTAGCTGAGTAGTTAGGATGCATAATACATGAATGCCATCAGCAGTGAGTTCCCAGTTTATTCCTGACCAGTCAGACCATTTCTGCACCCCACTACATCTCCATGGCATATTAATTTATTTATGTTGTGGCTGCAAACAGCTACAACAAGTGCAGCTAAAAGCAAAGTACATGTCTATATTTGATACCAAAGGGCACCAAAAATACTTAGATTTTAAGGCAAATGCCACTGATGGACTTGCGTGGCATAGAGAGAAACTACATAACATAAGAAGTGGATTCAGATTTAGTCACTAATTCAAGCCCACATCCCTGTAAAACCTAATGGTGATAAAAGTGAAAACACATCTTTTATCTAACACGTGTGAAAACGTCATTCTTGTGTTGTAATGTACACATCACATGTAAAGCCTTTAACAAAAATGCTCCCATTTGACTCTCAAGCGAGCTCAGCGTCTGACTGTCATGTGACCTAATTCAAGAACGCTGATTTGCTGATGCGTTTTGTCCTTCAGGTTTGCGTTATTAAGAACAAATGATGCTCCATGAGTGGCAGAAAACCACAGATTACATGTTTTTTTTCAGGTATCTTTGTCTTTATTGTTTAAAAAAGGGACAGTAAATGTGGCAGGGAGTGCAGGCGAATGACAAGGACGAGGGGACTGGCCATTCGGTTGTCTCTCTATTATTTTTGTTTCAATAGTCACAGCTAACTTCCACACAATGACCTAAACCATGTCGCATTCACACATGTAAGAAGATCCTAATGGATTCCCGTCCACATGACCTGAACATAAAACACCTCTCAAGCAGAGGTGATTTATTACCTTCCTTCAGGGCTTTGTCCACATTGTGCGACACCACCACCCTCCTGCTCTGGCTCGTCTCCTGAACCGGCACCGAAAAACGACCCTGAAAAACAAAAACATGCATCGGATCACTTCCCTTCACTTGAATCACAGACACACAACAGAAAAATCAGGAAATATTGAGCAACAACAAGAAGGGAAGGAAGAGGAGCCTGACAACTGTGTGTCTAATGAGCCTAAAATCCTAACAAAAGCAGCAGCCCAAATTTGTCATCGCTCGTGCAACATGTCGACCAGAGAAATGCTTGTGACAAATATGCCTCTGCTGTCAACATCAATAAGTCATCAGCAGCAAACAACACAGCTGAAAGGCAGCTGCTGGGCTGCAAGCTGCAAGGACACAATCACTTTCCTTTGCAGAACACATTGCCGTCTATTGTGGGTTCGTGTAAAAGTGTATTCATATCTGTGTGTGTGTGTGAAGTGAGTGAGTCTAAATCCAGACCTCATTTATTATAGAACAACACAGGGAGGATGCGAGGACAGGGAGCGAACATGAGAGAGGAGAGAAACATGGAGACGGAAGGAAAATAACTCGGGGGTGGGGAAACGTGAAACTGTTGATGGGAGCAAAGGAGGATGCAAAAAAAAATGGAAAATGTGAAATGTGCAGCAGATTTGGCTCAGCAGTAATGTGTGCCACAGTTAGATGTGACAGAAAAGCCATTAAATGTGAGGAGAATTGGTCGGATTTTCTGCCTATGATTAAGTTCAAGTAACATCATGAGGTTATAATTAATAGTTTCATGCTGATGTGATGAGTGCTGCCAGAGTTGTTCTACATGTCAGTGAGAACAAGGAGAAAGCAGCATCTTACCATGAGCTTGTTGAAGAACTCCAGCCGTGCAGCTGACTGCCTCCTGTTTCTGTCAAAGCAGCTGACTTTGAGAGGACTCTTCCGGACTAGCAGAACAAAGCTCCCAGCCAGGAAACACAGGAGGGCGAATGATACATAGATGAAGAGCTTCAAGAAGAAAGAGGTGAGGGTCAGGCCTCCCCAGGCGAGCTGGAACACTACTGCTGCCACCACGCCCAGGCAGAACGCCGGGACGAACCGGAAAGATGAGCCCACAGAGGAGGTGGAGGTGGCAGACATGGGCCCCTCTTCTCCTCCGGTGCTGCTAGTCCCTCCAGCCGGTGGTGTGGTGGTAGTCGAGGGGGTGGGCATACTGCGACCCCACCATCCATATATGTGTCACTGCTTGTTCGGCTGAAACGTGGCTCCGCGAGTCTATATGCCAAGTCCCAGCGGTAGGTATACTGTGTGCAACCCTCGACTACAACACTGTCTCCAAGAAGCGGCATCCCCGCTCTGACATCTCCTCACCGACCCACACCGCTATGTTTTCCGGGCTCCTAGCATCGGCCCGCCCGGCAGCAACAGGCACGGAGCCCCGCAAGCTTAGTCATCCGCAGCACGGTGCTCCAGACGGCAAAAACAGGACTCCGGGGTCTGTCTTGAGAGACGGAGCTGACAGAGAGCAGACAGAGAGAGAGACGCGGCTGATGGGATGGATGGAGCAACAACCACCGTCACCTTGGAGACTAATGGGTGCAAGGGTAGCTTAGTGACTGTTGCTAACCAACCGCGCTAGCAGGAAGCTAAGCTAGAAAGCCAGCATAAGTTACCGTTACCTGCTTTAAAACGAGAAATACACAAGAAGAGTCAAAAAGTGTCACTCTACTGTGTAGTTTAGACACCAAGCCGAGTCCAGGACCGGCAGGTAGCTAACTAGCGTGCTTGCTAAGTAACCAATTAAACATCAGCTAACGCTAGCTTACTCACCTATCGATAAAAAAGGTGTCCAAAAACAACACTACACTCTCGCTGCGCTCTCCGTAAAAGAACGCACAAAGAGGCCTTGTAATGGTGAGTTAAAACTAACAGAGCAGAAAAATACGTCCAATCCGAAATTCTTGAAAGATAAAAAACAAACAAACAAACAAAAAAACATCAAGTAAGTGTTGTTTTCGTTGAGCTCCAGCTGACTGACAATCTCTCTGAACTGAAAGGGTGTCAGCCAATCAGCGCTGGCTTTAAACACTAACCGTGCGCCTGTTTCAATTTTCAAGGCAGTTTGAATGGGCGGGGCTTATGTCTGAGCCTAACTGAATAGGCACATCCACAGGGATGCGTAAAGCACCGCCCAACTGGGAAGCTACTTGGGGGGAATGAAAATCAAGCGTACCACCAGATAAAGGATCATGCCTGTTTTCTCTGTCGAAAGATTTTTCTCTCAGATGCTGGGTTGTACAAAGGCGTCTTTGTGTGTCAATACAAAATAATGTTTTTACAGCGATGACAAATCACATTTCAGCCATATTACCGGATAATTTCGCACACTTTACCTACAAACACTGGATGTTAGTTCTTGACTGTTTTTAAAGGGGTGGCCAGGTAGACACAATATATTAAGTTTTTTGTTTTTATTTTTTCCCCCCAGCAAATTGTATTATTATTTGTAGAAATATGTCAGGACGACTCATGTGCAGCATAATAAGGGTTTTTATATAACCCTGAATTGATTAGAAATCTGGGATGTTTAGCATTTTAAATTGTTAATAAAGTTTATCAGATCATTTTAATTTAAGTTATATGAGCACACATAAGAAATTTATGGAAAAAGTGTTTTGATTGGGACCTACACTGCCACTACATAGGCAACCATTACCTACAAGTTCAAAGTTTTTTTTAATGAAGACATTTTATTCAAATGTTCAAATTACCTTTAAAGAAAAGAAATGTCCAGTAATGTTCTTATCAAGTTAATATAATGATATAATCCAGGTAGAACATTTTGTTGAGGGGACATATTTTTGAACATTTTCGTATAAAATTTTTTGACAACATGACACTTTTGTGGAAGCTTTGATTTTTATGAAAATATCTCCAAACTCACATGATATCCACTGCACTTAATTCATGTGTACTTGATGAATTTTTCAGACAAATCAGGATTTCAGCGGTGCAGAATCTTATAGGGCTGCGTTTCGGTCACTATTTTCTACTTGTTCTGTCGTCTGACAACGGAAACAGAAAAATACATAGATGAGAAAAGCTCTATTGGGAACTTAGCTTCATTAAAATGCAGTTTTCGCGAGCACAGGGTACAGGAGAGAAGTAAATAAATGTAAAGTGCCACTACAACAAATAGCTTTCAATGTGTTTTTTCTTAAGGTGTCTGTGCTGCTGTAATATAACATCTAAAATGTGCACAAACCACCATTTGATTCTATGATAATTCAAATTTATTTGGAAACTTTTGGACTAAACCAGTTAGTATTCGTTTAATGTACCAACATTATGACATAATTCAATGGACACAATTTATTTCCTTGTTTTATTCCTTGAATCATGGTATCAATGCAAATGGCAGCGTGTATGGAGATGCAGCCACTACATTAAACTGTAAGTGAGAGACAAAGCACAGCGTATGTTCAAAATGGAAAACCCCAAACCACGAGTAACATCTCTGCCATTCTTTGTTTCAATGAATGTAAAAAAAAATCTTCTACATGTGAATCTTCATGACATTTCCCAGGGCTGCTCTCAGCACAATCCCTGCCGTTGTAGCTTTAAGAATAAGAAGACGTGTTTCTTTGACTTTACGTTACTGTTAAACACACTGTTGCTGCAGCCATTTTCAGTTACATGATAATGGCTCCTTTCACCGCCTTCGGTCCAATGTTTCTGCCTGTGTCTGGCACGTTCACTGACATCAGATTCCCCTTTTCTCCACCAAAACAGACAGCTGTGTGTGCATTCTACTTCCTCTTGCAACATTCATGTCTCTAAAACAGGCAGCGAGTTTCACAAGTCCCGATGCTCTAAATTACTCTTACAGCAGTGGAAGATGTGTTCAGATCCTTTACTTCAGCGAAAGTACAAGTTCAGCAATATAAATTACAAGATTACAAGTACGGCATGAAAAATCCTACTTAAGTAAAGGTAATGTGAGTGTTAACAGCCAAATGTAGCCGAAGTATGACTATAAAGATTCGCTTTGGTCTCTGTGAGGGATATACTGTATATATCATTAGATTATCAATAGTGAAGCATCAGTGTCTCAGCAGCATGTTTCTAGTGTAGCTGCTGCAGGTGGAGCTACTTTAAACTACTAAATATCCAATTTTATTTGCAGAGACAGCAAATAAATTTGAGGGCTCGTCACATGATTAGTGGGCAAGGAAAGACGAAAAAAGCAAAATTCTGATACACAAATCTGTTGTAGTTTTTCTCTTGTCTTTTATCTTTGGCGAGACATTTGCTGAAATAAAACCACGTGTGAGATTTAGAGAGAAAAATCCCTATTTGGTGAAGCTGTCAACAGCTTAAAGACATCTGAAATGTGAGCCCGACTGCATACTGCTTTTTTGGAAGAGGCAAAAGAAAAGGTTTAAAACCACTGATTTATTCTGTAACTATGTGTTCCTTTTTAAAACCTGAATGTATTATCTATTGTATAAAATCTTTGCTGTAAAAGTAAAGCTGTCAGAAGAATGTAGTGCAGCAGGAGGTGCAATATTTTCTTCTGAAATGTAGTGAAGTGGAAAGTATAATGCAGCAGGAAGCACAAATACTCAAGTGTCAGTGCCTCAAAATTGCCCTTAAGTACAGAACTTGAGTAAAATTTAGTTATTCAATTCCAAATGTGTTGCTATATGAGTAATCAGAGCCTTGTTTCCGTCCAGATGGTCTCACAACACAGAAAGTGTACCTCTAATCAGGAATCATTCAGTGTTTAGCATACAAATATGTTCCTGTGTAATTTAAGAAGATTATAGGATTAGATTTCTGTCAGAGTGTGTTTTTACGTTTGAAATGTGATTCTACACCAAGTATTACATAAATCTAAATGCCAAGACAAGAAGATTAGGAAGGCGGGCTGTGCTGGATCCGATTGGGGTCATCGATGGCATTGATTTTGAAGTCGACGGGTCGCAGCCTCATGATGCTGGTCTTCAGCGAGTACCACCACCCTCTCCATGTGTACCAAACCACACCGTCGTCTGTCGCAGCGCTGTAGTGCCCACTGGGGTAGTATCTGCCATTAAGATGGGCCGAGTGGCACCTGGGGAGAGTGAACAGCATCCATTTATTCTGACTGTAATTTATTCATACTTAATCTACACTCTAATGAATGACTGTAAGCATCTTGTTGCATCTGTTTGCATCATGAATCCCGTACTTGTTAAACCACCAGCCTCCTTTGTCCTCCTGTGCACAGTTTCCTTTGTAGTTGTCGTTGTCCTGGTCGTAGGTGCTGAACTTGATGTCCTGGTGACTGGCCCACTCTGACACACCAGTCTGGTAGGTACCAGACAAAGCATCTCCAGCTGTACCTATGTAGGCGCCGAAGGTAAGTCGGTAGTGATCCTGCAGAGCGAGATGCATAGAGAGCTGGTCAGCTTGCAGAAGCTTAAAAATAAAACCTAGAAAGCCGGCTGCTATCCAGGAGGCCACTGGATCAGCTCAGAAGTAGCGTCTGCATGTGACTACCAGTAAACTACGATTTGTTGTGACAGCACTTGGGTTTTTTAAAGGATGTAATGTGTTCAATATTGAACTCGGGAGTTATGTGATTATTTTTTTTTTACTTTGGACGGGCTAGCAGTTTCTCCTTGTTTCCAGTCTTGATACTAAGCTAAGCTAACCAGCCTCTGACTTTAGCTTCAACCAAGCTTTTAACCTTTGTTTTGATTTTTTCATCCATCTGTGCAAGAAAGCTAAAAGACAAGCTGTACAAAATGAATCACGTGTGAGATTTAAGGTTGTTTTCTTCAGCAGAATCAAATATTACCACCCAAAAACTACTACATCCAATATCTAAATTTTTACCAACATTTTAGTGACCGCTTAGCATCAATACCTTTTCATCGGCTACTTTAAAATTCTTGTACTCGGCGTAGCGCTGGTTACCGTCAAAGTCTTCCAAGCTGATCCTCAGGGAATAATTTCCTGGAACAGAAAGATGGACTTTTAAAAAAAAACAACATACCAAGAAGGATCTGTGCCAGCTGGGGTTTTTTTAAGCAGCAACAATTTCTTCATGATGGTCTTCACTCACTGGTATGCATGTTTCACATCTAATTGCTAAACTTTATTGCAGTTTTTTTTTTTTTTTTTTAAATAGCTTCCTGATGGTGCTGGAAACTATATTTATGATAGAAAACATCAAGTACTAAGACAGTAAAGTTGTAGGCCATTAAACAAAAACAATGAGCATAAAGATGCTAAACAATTTTCCATGGAGCTTAGAGAAAATGTAGAGTCTGATGATAAGCACCGCCTTCCACATTACATACATGGGTTGTACATCAGTATATTGTCAATCTAGGAACTTTAAATGGTCGGTAAAAACATAATAAATGGTTTTCAGAAGTCTTACTAACCTTGTGCAGTGATGTAATTCAAGTTGTCATTTCCAAGCCAAAATTCTGCATCCACGTCTCCAAAACCGTTCTTATATTCAGCCCATGACCTGATAGATGGAGATAGAGACATTCAAATGATTTTGAATTCAGATTATTTAATTAGTGTACTTGAATAATTACCAGTGACACACCTGTTAAATGTCTCTGTTCCATTGATGCGTCTCTGTATGACAGTCCAACCTCCACCTTCACTCATATCACAGTAGACCTGAACTGGAGAGGGGCTGCCACTGGGTTTGATTCTGTACAAACCACTGGATTTGGAGCCAGAACTGAAGATCTGTGAGCAGTCTGACACACAAAAATACATATATATAGACAAATACAGGCATGAACAAAAGTTTACATACACTTGCAAAGACCATGGCATATCATGGCAGTTTTGAATTTCCAATATGGCCTATTTAATACACTCATTAGACTCTGAATCTGAAAAAGTAAATCGTTAACTGTTCGTTAATCGCTAACTTCAGGAAAGTCACATGGAGCCATTTTAAAGTGGCTACAGATTCCAGAATCAACTGTGCAACATTAAAGTGGATGGCACAGTTGTGTGACTCAGAAAGAAAACACAGGATATCCCCTGCTGTCGAAAGTCAGGATGGTCAAGCGCCAACTGAGAGGCTGCTGTGCAAGAAGGAAGCTCTTCTTCTAGAAGTAGCCCCTTGAGGCTTAACTTAAGTTTACTGCCGATCACACGGACAGAGAAAAGGCCTTCTGGAGGAAAGTTCTGTGGTCAGATGGAACAAAAAATGAGTTATTTGGACACAATGACCAGAAATATATTTGGAGAAGAGAAGCTGAGGCATTTGAGCTGTCAAAATGCACTGAAACACTGATCTGATGCTGACAGTTTTCAAGCATGGTGGTGGCAGTATTATACTCTGTTATGCTCTGGAACTACTTTACACAAATTAAATTGAATAATAAAGAGGGAGCATTACCTCCACATTCTTCAGGAAGGCCTAAAATAATCAACCAGAAGGTTAAGTCTTGGGCTCATTTGGTCCAACAAGACATTGACCCCAAACACACATCAAAACAACCAAACATTAGTATTGTTGTTTGTTTTTGAACCAGCATATTTGTAGTATTTCCAGGAGACCTGTATTAAATATGTGAAGGAACCACATAGCATGACATTTTATGGTGACACATGTATTTCAGTAATTCCATCACGGAACAGTCAGAGTTATAGGAGTGACTGGAAACTCAAGGCTGAAATGTATGTAAGCTTTTGTTCACAAGTGAATACAGATATACAAACACAGTCTGTATTCATCACATTATCTGGTTCCTGTTTCTGCTCAATGAGATGTGAAACAAGATGTTTTTAGTTTTCAAATGTTTGCTTCCAGCCCTGAGGCCGTCGTCCTGACCTGCGTACTGGGCGTCCTGGCTCTGGTCGACTCTGTCTTTCTCCTTGTTGCCAGGTTGGTAGAGCAGTTGTAATCTGTGTAGGAGGAGCTCTCGTTTCTGAAGCTGCCCCTTCAGAAGCTTCTCCTGTTCCCGCAGACGAGCCACCTCCTCACGGCAACTGTCTGACGCCTACATACACACAGACACACACATGCTGTATCTGTATTCCTGTATTTGTGAGAATCTTCATTCATATTCGTTCACACATCTGAGATAAAGTATGAGTATAGTACACAACAACACTGAATACACTCCTCTGCAATAACACTAAAATAATACATTTAGAGCATGAAACTGACGGAACACATTACGTCTCATAGAATATTAGTTTCACTGCAGTCAGTCTAAGTTTAAACTCCATTATACTACTCTGACCATAAACTCAAGATCCAAGTCTAGCCTATCTTAAAGACAGTGTAGAGCAGTTAGTCTGGCTCTGTCCACAGTTAACAAAATTTGTGTACCACCACCTTTAAAGTTCAGCAATTAGCACATTATCACTTGTTTATTCTGTGTGAAACCAAAGTGTGAAAACATTTCATGTTTCTGGGGAATTATGTGAAGTCTCAGTTCCTGGGAAACTTTACAGCAATAACACAAACAAAATGATAATTAGTGAGCTTCATGCTACGCGTCCATGGGGTGCGTTATTCCCATGCTTCCCATTCATAATCAGCAATGTGTGACAAAAAAGAAACAGGACATTGGTCGCTGATCACACGATTCGGCAGCCACATAGTAATGAAGTCGATCATAATGTTGCTCAGCATCTCAACACAGCACGAGAAAAGCAATTGACCTATTATCTTTCTGTTTACGGGTGGGTTTCTAGCTCCAGTTAAGTGTCCTCCATCACAGCAAAGGACTAACATCAAGTTCTTGGGGGAAAACTCCAGCAAAACCAGGACATTCCTCAACAAAAAACTGATGTCAACGTCCAGAAGGTCAAAGAACTGGCGTGGTGTGATCACAAACTAATGATCAGACAGATGGCTCAACAACTGGGATTGAACAGGGAGTTGGTCAGGACCATCTTATTGAACAATTACCACTCGATACCGCTCAGAAATACAAATGTTTACGAGTGTTTCATTACTTCCCTGCTTTACTTACAACGTGGTGCTCACAGGCTCAGAAACAACAGCTACTCTTTCCAGAACATAATTAGCTTTTCCGAGTGCTGCTGAATGTTTTCCAATGTTGTTAAATACAAATTGAGCTTGGACATTTGACAGTGTGAAAAGCAACGTTTCGTTTGCTGGAATTAGTCCTGAAAGTTTGAACAGGCTTCTGAGTAAATTCGCGTCAACCTCGTCGCTCCATGCCAAACGCTCCACATAATCTACTACAGGGACACGCAAGCACGAGGGCAGAAAGTGGTAACACATTGTGAAGATTTGAAAAAACACACACATTTGGACGAGTATAAAGCACACAAAGGATGAAGATCTGCAGCTTAGAATTTAAGCAGTTAGCCAACGTAGCCAGCCTGCCCGGTCAGGTCTTTGTAAAGTACTTACACACAGAGATTGAATGCAAGCTGTGATGATTATCAGTCCTGCGAGCAACAGAGGGCCTCTCATCTTCTTCTTGTTTGGATATCACAACACTAAAAGGCGAGAGCTTCTCAGAGCTTTATCTGCTTGATTGTTGCCCAAGAACACCGTACACCTTCCCCACATCTGGACAAAACAAACCTGCAGCCAAGGTGATGTAGAAACTGACCAAATACCTGATTCTCTACAGTCATAAATACACAAAATATGCAGGGAGTGTTCGGAGCACATGCACACCAGCCAAAACTCCTCCACAAACATGTGCATTTGATAGACTGTCAAAAAGTGTAGTCAAACGTTGCTCGGCGTCGCATCCCTGCATGTCTGCTTGTCGTTCCGTTCTTTGTGAGTGTCATTAAAAAACTCAAGTAGTCATTTAGTTGAAGAGCAGCTTTGTGCCATTTCAAATGCCAGCAGTTAAATGCCACTGAAGGTCAGCTCTCGCAGGAGGAGGCGGAACACAAGGAGAGAAAGGATTACAAAGACACTTGATTGAATAATGTGGCTGTCATTGATTTCACACGATTTAAAAAAAGAAAAAAGAGACAAGTCAGGTTTCTGGGACGAGACGGGGTTTTAATAACAGACCGTGACACAGTTTTAGACGGTGACGCATTTCGACTGTGATGCAGTGTGTTTGGTAACCGGCTGCTCTGAAGTCTTATTTCTTATTATTCCTTTTCTTATGTGAACAAACAGCAACAAAGAAGATAAAGACGGAAATTGTTTTAGTCATCAGGTAATGACTGTAGCTCCAGTTCATATACAGATTTGTACTGTTGGCATACTGGGAACAAACTGGTATAAATCTTCTCACTTAAGTCTCAGCAATAACAAATATGATGGCATTTTCCAGAATTATATATGAAAATACTGAATAGAAGTGTGGTGACAAATTAAAGGAAAACCCCAAATCCTTGACCCCTACAGTGAGGAGATCTGGTGGCTCCATTATGCTACGAGGAACGATCCCAACAACACCGTGCCTACTGTCAAGCATGGCAGTGGCAGTATTATGTTCTGGGGCTGTTTTGACTAAACCAGGCTAGAATTAAGGTTTTAGACTGGCTTCCCCAAAGTTCTGAGTTAAACGCGATAAAGAACCTGTGGACAGTCATGAAGAAACAAGTCTATACCAGAAAGCCAACAGATTTAGTTGCACTGCACCAATTCTATCAAAACAGTGTTCACCCCTCTGGTAGAGTTTCAGAGGATCAATGCCAAGACACCTTGAATCTGTTCTTGTGATGGCTCGTGGCCACCAGGTGTGTGTGCTGAACCCAAACGAAGAGGAGACGGGAAATAAAGGGAGGAACAGGTTTATTTAGGGGAATCCAGGGAGTGTGGGGCATCAGGAGGCAGGTGTGCAGGTTGCAGTGGCGATGCAGGAGGGGGTTTTCTATGCTGGTGGTCGTGGAGGATGAGAAATAAAGCGCAGAAAAACACAAGAGCTCGAAGCTGCTGCTAACGGCCTGAATGTACCACTCATGGTGTTCATAGTCATCTGGCACAGGAGTCCAGGTGACCAACGGCTTTATCCTGTCCACTGATGAGGCGATGAGCAGCTGTTCCAGTGAGGGAGCGTCCTCCTTTGATCGGCCTCGCCCAGCCTTACAGTGAAATGCAACGCCAGCCAAACACACAGAGAAAACAGGAATCCAAAAACACAGTGAAACATGTCCATAATCACCACAGCTCTGGTCGTATGTCGTAGCTCAACACCTGACTGAGACACCTTATGTTGGCCTTCCCTTTTTATTTGTCACCCACCTGTATATACTTTGCTAAAATTTCACCGGGACAACATATGAAACAGTTCAACAAAAACAGGAGTCTAGAAGTCACTAATTCGTAATTAAACCACATCATTTTGTCACATTGAGGATTTTATTAGCTGGGAATGACTGAGGTAAATTGTTCCATCAGCAGCTACCAGGTGGTGTTACCAGCTTCACATTGTCTCATAATCTCAAACACAGATGCTCTATAATGAACATTTAAATCCTTAATTTTTTGCAGGCCTTCTTGAATTTCTCCCACTTTATTGTAATGTGATTGTGTGTGTGTGATATAATGCTGCGTAGTACCCATTATAACCCGACTGCACAGATTTTCAGCTTTCAGTCATCTAACTGTTCGACTTAATGAGGCAACACCATAATATGTTTAGTTGTTCATTGGACATGCTGCTTTATGTTTCCTCTTGTGAATTGGTGGAGCGTCTCCTCGTCGAGGTTGTCCTAAAACACAAAATTCACAATCAAGTTTTGTCACCCACACTTTGAAAGGTTTAATAATCAGAGATATAAACTATGCAGGCAATTAAGGATCAGCAGGCGGCTACCTGCCAATATCTGTAAAAATCTCCTAAAAAGTTCACTTCCAACAGAAAACTATACGTACTATTCTATAGTTTTGTCCTCTAACATAATATGTAGGAACGTAAAGACTTGTTAAATAATGATATTGAAAGACATTTAAGTAAATATGCAAACAAAACTTGCAACTAGTTTGGCCTAAAAGAACTTAATGTTAGTCGTTATTCTTATTATTGATATTTTAGTTGTTTTATGTTTGTTTTTGTCTCAGTATCACAGTGTTTTTAGTATATAAAATGTATAATGAGCTGTCTCTCTTTAAATCTTCCAGCTAATACGACTTGCCATTGCATGTCAGTGTTATGGAGAATAATAAGTATTGATGTTGCACCTCCAAAGTTATTACATTAACCTATAAATGGTGGATTACTTGTGATGTTGGTTGAATCGCTCAGGCGTGACATCTCAGGATCGTCTGGCTGAGCATCGTCAGACTTCTTGTAGTAATACGGTTGATCAGGAGGTCCGAATCTCTGCATGCCAACAGATCACACAGTTAGATTGTTTGCAGCTGTCATAGTTGACTGTCGCACATCGTAAACAAGCATAACGCACCTTATCAGGCCACATGAAGCTGATGAAGAGAATGACGGGGAGTCCAATAGTGAGGACGTAGACACTGATCAGCCAGGGACGCTGGTTGATGGATATCACGAAGCTCTCGATGATACCCGGCTACAGTACAAACACATACAGATACCGTCTGTCATTTAGTGAATAATAACATCCATAGTTCATTCACTCGACTGCATATAAACAGGAATAAATGTTAACATGCAGCAGATCCAAAGGCGACCAGGCCTTTTCTGTGAGGGCCCCTCGGCTTTGGAACGACCTACCTGAGGAAATAAGGCTGGCAGATTCAGCATCGTCTTTAAATCACCCCTTATAACCCACTTTTATAGACTCACTTTTGAGTGATGTTCTCTTTTATTTCTCTTTTAGATTTTCGCCCCATTTCTTTTCCATTTATATTGGTACTGCCTGCTGTCCTTATCTCTTTTCTCTTTCTTAATCTACTTTTATCTTCAGCTTTTATCTTAATTTCCTTCTGTGATGTCGTCTTTTAGTTTTACTAGTTTTATTATAATACACCTTCTAATAGCGACCCAGCCTTCAGTTCTTTGTCATTTTTATTGTGGGTATTTTTATATTTTGAGTGTTCGCCTGCACTTTTATACATGTTGTGTTCCTGTTCCTGTGTTGCTTTGTCTCTCTGTGTGCTGTATTTCTTTATTATGTAAAAGCACTTTGTGAATTCGGTTCTTAAAGGTGCTGTATAAATAAAAGTCTACAAATGACAACGATCAAAGATCAAACCATAAAACCAAATGTAGAATTAGAAGAAAGACAAGTTTTTTGGGGGGTTTGTTTGTTTTAAAAGAGAAAAAGAAAGAGAAGAAATGTCAGAAAAGCTGCAGTTAACATGCTGACTGTAGGACTAGTTTCATCCTATATGCATTTATACTGTAAGATAAAGTGATGTGTGAGTCATGCAGAAGTGTGAAGCAGCAGCAGGTGTTGTTGTGTAGTTGTGGACCATCCTTCAGCTCACAGTCTCATCTTCCTGTAATAGCAGACTGACGGTGTTTGTTTCAAGTGTTGACAGTCATACTACTAAGTGACCAGTCAGAAGATTACACTTTAGCGCTACTACACTGCATAAATGTAAGGACAATCCCACACACCGTATGAGTCGTACATGTAGGTACGTTACCCATCACGACACTTCTGAACATGTTGTTTTATTTTTAGCCTTTTTGTAGTTTTTCTTGTCTTGCTTCTTCCACCTGCTCATCCGTATCCAGCTGCTGTAACATGTACATTTCCCTTCTGAGGCATCAATAGAGTTTATCTTATCTTGTGTTGTCTTATGTTATCTTACTGGTGTCGACATCAATAAAGTTTGAATAAAACACACAGAGAGAGTGAGGCACTCTGGTGGCTCTGTTACGCTGTGAGAGGCGTTTTGCTGGATCCACTTGGAGGGAAGAGTGACTGCAAATCAATACAAAGAGGTTCTAAATGATTACGTTTATCCCGTGATTACATATTATGATCAAACACCTTCTGGAGATTTTGGACCGACACGTTAGACAGCGTTCCTCACTAGATTAGAATTTCAATTCAATTCAATTTTATTTGTATAGCGCATATTTACAACAACAAGTCATCTCATAGCGCTTCACAAAGGCAGAGACAGAAACACCCAACAATCCAAAACATTTGGATTCCCTATAAGCTTCAAAGACTTTCAGATTTAATGCTGAGGCTAACTAAATTTGTTCCGGTGCCGCACGGTGTTTTAACACCTTACGAAGGGAGTTTGTGCTGGTTTTGTCTCTAATTTGACGCCCTGTGTGTGTCCATATTCATACTTCTAGCAGTGAATAAGTGTAAAACACAGTGAAAGCGTTACCTCGGCTGACACTGATGTCACACCGACTCCCAGCATCATGCACAGCAACACAACACTGCTCTCCATCTGCGAAACAAATGATTTTATGCATGTTCACTTAAACACACAAAACAAATTGTCCACATACACACAGCAACAGTCAATAAACTGCACCTGTACACATGCATGGACTAAACATACTCAGATAAAACCACACTGAAAGATCCTGAATGAGGGAAAACCATGGCTTCTGTTGTGATGATTAGACAGGGACAGACAGATAAAAGAAAAAAACAAAGAGGAAGGAGGAAATTAAATGAAATTGGATGCAAGAAAAAGGAACATTCAGAGGCTACAAGGAGAAGTGGAATCAGAAATAAGAGAAGAATAAACTCAGAGCAAAAGTAGACAGAGCACATAGAAACAAACCAAATGTTTTTACCTTTTTTAACACAGAGATTTTTCACAGTTTCCTGGAGTTCCTTAAAAGTCGCTTCCTGATATCTTGGAGTCATGTGATGTTGGACTTTGGTCCCAATAAGTCACTTGCTGACATAACTGCAGTTACACAGTGACCACATTATGGTGGTCTGACACTGTTGTTTACATGCACATGCAGAATACACACATTCACACATGATTCACAGATTTAAAAATAAATAAAATTCAATCTGCACTCAAACTGTAGTTCGTCATGCTCTCATTAAGCGTATTTTTAATGAAACTGAGACAGATTGAACTCTGATCTGAAAGCAATAAAAGGGCTTCTGTTGTTTTATTGGGGATCATTAAAGCAGGAGGTGTTTCATCATCAGGAGTCAACATGAAAAACCTCCTCTTCATCATTCTTGTCAATTAGTGCGTGAAAAGAACGAAAAAACCTTGGCAGACATGACAAATGACCTTTACAACTGATTTTAATCCTGAAAAAACAAAATGAGAACAGCTTGGCACATGCAAACCTTTGAACTACGCCTTTAAACTAATAAAAACATGCTTGGTGTGATAATGTTGAGTATTTATGAGGGATATTAAGTTAATGAGGGTGCGTTATATTCAGGTAGAATGAGATACTGCCAGAGATAAACAGAACGATCCACCTGATTTGTGTTGCGAGGTGAAATGATTTAATGCATCTTAGTGCCACCTAGTGGAAAAAAAACATAATAGGCCAAAGACATGGAAATATTCACTTGTGTCTGAATGATTATTTTGTCAAATACTTTATTTTTCCTTGAATTGTTGTGTAAACCTTCTCCTTTAACCACAGTATTACTTGTTTATTTATTGTTTTGTAATCTTAATTACATGCTTAATTATGAAAAGTGGTATGAAACTGAGAGTTCAGAAACATTAACAAACAGATATTTAGAAAGCTTCCAAATGAAACACAACTACAAATTGCAAGAGTTTGTTTCAAACACTTGTTGGAAAACCAATAAAGGAGAGAAAAAAGGATTTTGTTCATTAGAGCCGGATGTTGATTTCACTTCGTACTCCATCGCCACCGGAAACGCTCTCGTTGCCGTCGGCGTCAGACAGGAAGCCGCTGCCAGTGGCTGCTGTGGTGATGTTGTGCTCCAGGGCTGTGATTCGCTGTTTCAGGCGAAGCTGAGAGGAGTTGAACTCACTCTGCAGACGGGCCAAACAAGTCTGAAAATAACATCACTGATGTTAGTTACTATCACTGTAGTAGGAATGTTTCAGCACTCACAGGAAAACTATGGTTCTTAAATGGTTCTTCAGAAAGTTCTCTGGTTCTTCAGAAAGTTCTCTGGTTCTTTAATGCACCAGATAAAGAATGTTTTTTATTTGGGAGATGGTTCTTTGTGTACTTTATGTGGTTCTTTAAGGTTCTACATTTTCACTGGAGTTATTACTTTGATGGCAGGTGACAGCATAAAATCAGAGCTGCAGCTAACAATTACTTTCATCATCTATGACTCTGTTGATTATTTTCTCAATTAATCAACGAATCATTTAATCTATAAAACATCAATAAAGTCACAGTTTCCCACATCTCATCTTGTAACATTTTGTTCTGTCTGAAAAACAGCATCAAACCAAAATTATTCAGTGTGTTATAATGAAAGGGACCCAGATGACTTGCATATGACTTCTCTGTATTGATACCAAATGCTGTTATCAAACCAGAACCAGGTGGGTCCACAAAAATGTTCCCTGTAAATGTTTCCTTGAGGAACCTGTCTATGTTCTTTGGAGCCGGTTTTTTTAAATAGTTCATTGAGGTACCTTTTGGAGGTTTATTACAGAATAAACTCTTGCTAAAAGCTTCTTTATGGAAATAAAAATAATTCCTCCATGACATCATTGGAAAGAACCATTTTTGGTTCCAGTTAGCGCCATTATTTTTGTGTACGTAAAACCCGCATTGCCATAAAATGTGACAGTAAACACAGTGGCAGAACCTGACCTGCAGCCTGTCCAGACTGGTTTCCAGTCTCTCCACCTTCTCCTCCAGCTCCTCCCCTGCAGACACGTTCACTTCCTCCAGAAGCCCCTCCTTCTGCAGGATGTCCCGCCCCCTCTGCTCCAGCTGGGCCCTGGCGTGGGGAAACTCCTGAAGCGCCTCCATCAGGTCTTGCTTGGAAAGACAGAACAGATCAGAGTATCCCAGACTCCGAATGTTAGCCGTGCGTCTGTTCCCCATCTTGCTGCCGCTGATGTTCAAGATGCTGATTTCTCCAAAGCAGCTTCCTGCAGTCAGAACAGCGAACTGGGTGACGCCATCCTCCCCCACCACTGCCAGGTGGCCTTCTTTAATTATGTACATTTCCTTACCCACATCTCCCTTAAAAAGAAAAAAAAACTATCAGAGAATGCATATCAGGACTTTAAACAGTAATAAAATCTTGTCAACAGAAAGAAACAACTGAAAACTCGGTATAGCAATGTCGGCTGGAAACAGCAGTGAAACCGTCTTGGAAAAATTAAGTTATTCTGTCAACTTTTTAACCCTTAACAGTGTTATGGAGGGATGTTTTTATGAGTGGGTCCATGTTTGTTTGGCAAAAGGTGCAAGGAAGTAGGAAACTATCTGCAGGCATGATTGAAACAATGCGTTGTCTAAAATACCAAAAATCAGTGAAGCAAATAGTATCGAAGGAAGTACATTTAGCATGTTTGTAAAGCCTCATTATTCAAACTAAATAATACAAATCTAAATTGTATAATTCAAATTTAATCTCTACACAAAATGTGTTTTTCAGAGCAACGTTGAAGGTAGACCTCAGTGAGACCCAACCTCGATCTTTAAAGCTGGATTGGAATATTCCTAACTTCAATGGTACAAGTAAAAGTCATACAAACCTTTCGGCAGATGTAGTCTCCAGGACTGAAAACTTGCGGTCGAAGTTTTAGCACCAATTCTACAAGGAGGCCTGCCTCACAGTCCTGGAAGATACGCACCTAGGTCCACAAACAAAATAATGTCTGAGGAGTTTGCATGTAATCTGCCTAAAACTCTAAAGCACAACCTTGGACCACAGTCACAGCATTTATAGAATAAAGGACAATGAGATGTGGCTGCAGTTGGGTCACATTGTGTAAACATCTCTACCTTCTTCAGCGTGTCCAGGTGAACGTTGATAGCGATCTCTGCTCTCAGTTTATTGGGCAGGCTCCTAAGCACTTCCTGTTCATCGATTGTCTTCTGATTAGTCCAGAGGTAGTCAAACCAGCGAATGACACGCTGCTCCAGCACCTTGCTGACATGTCTGAAGTGCATGTAGTGTTTGAGTGTGTCCACACGGGTTTGAAAAGCTGCTCTTGTTGCATTCATGTTGGAGATCATGGATCCGACGTTACCCACAATGGAGGCAAAAATCAGGACACCAACCTGGAAGAGAAATATCAGTAGCGGTTGTGTTAATAGACTAGAACAACTGGGATCCACATTCAAGTAAAATATGATCAGTTATATTGCGATGAACTTACCAAAAAGTCAAATATCAAGAAGAGATATTCCTCATCTCTAACAGGAGGAGGTGTTTCTCCAATGGTCGTCAGCGTCAGGGTCGACCAGTACAGACAGTATATGTAACTTCTAGTCAGGGAGCCAAACTCGGGGTCGGATGCGTTGGGATAAACCCACGAGTCAGAGCCCAGTCCCAGGAGTTTGGAGAAGCTGTAGTACACACAGGCATTCCAGTGGATGATGACCAGGATGTACAGAACCAGCTTACAGATGCGGAAAGCGTTTGGGTAGCCCGTTCTCGTTTCTGTACGTTCAAAGAACTCAAACAGACGTGGCAGGCGCAGCAGCCGGTTGAATCTGAGGAGAGGAGTGTAGCTGATTCCAACAGTCAAGTACAGGAGGTCAGTCGGCAGGATGGAGGAGATGTCAAGTTGACACTGCAACGTTCGAATGTAGGTTTCTCTCAGACGGCGCACATCTTTCACCATCAAGCCTTGATCCAAGAAACCTTTGCGTACATGATAAATAGAAACACAATGCCCTCATTTATAAAACTTTCACAAGCAAATACAGTCATATTTAATTGAAATAGGATTCCTGAGTACCTGTGTGGAGACGAACAGCAATATCCAGGATGTAGACTCCATCACAGACATAGTCCAGCACTTGCCACACCAGCACATTACTCATCTGGAGCTCGTCAAAACAGGCTCTACAGACACATGAACAATGAACAAGAGGAAAAACCAACAAACATCCTATTCTACACTTAGCAAAGTATTCTATTTTCCTCAAGAAAGCTGTGAAAAAGGAGAGTTAGTCGACCACTACATTACTTTTGGCCCAATGTTCTTTCTACTGAAGATATTCTACTTCTGAGCAAACAGCCACTTATTTACACATCCAGCAGATAGGTAGCAACGCTGACTTTATTTGGAGTTTCTATCCAGTTAATATTGAATGAAAATCTAAAATTCACTCTAATTTTAGTTATGTTGTTAGGCTTCACCAACTCTGAAGTGAAATACATGATGATTTGTTCCAACAGTGCCCTCCAAAACACTGTATATTGGTGAATGGTAAACCTAATGACATGTTTCTGGAGATTCACTCAGAAACACATAGGTGATGTCAACATCACTATGCGCACTTTTTCTTCAGCCACAATGCAGTAACTGCTGTAGTACCAGTAAAAGTGCTTTCAGAGGTAGAAGTGTAGAACTGATCAATAGTGATAGAAGTAGTATTAGAGTTGCTACTAGTACGGTTAGTCACAATATTGTTTTCCAACCTGACAACTAGCAGTGTCCAGTTATAGAAGACTGCAGCACCAATCACCATCAGCCAGTGGTAGTACGCATCATCAGACGGGGACAAGACGACGACAGTACACTTCCTCCTCCTGACAGAAAGAGTCAAAAAAGACAAAGAGATTTACATGTACAGTTATGAATAAAAGTTTACATGCACTTGTAAAGACCATGGCCGTCATGAATTTCCAATGACTCCTATAACTCATGGAATTATTAAAACCCATGCGTCTTTGTCACAATAAACAACCTGCATTTTGATTCTTTATTAGATTTATTATAGATCCTCTGAAATTATGACAAAATCTGCTGGGTCAATAATATACATACAGCAATGATAATATTTGGTTAAACGTCCTTTGGCCATTTTCACCTCAACTACGCGCTTTTGGTAGCTGTCCACAAGTTTCTGGTTGTATCTTTGATCACTACTCTTAACAAAATTGGCATAGTTCAAATAAATTTGTTGGCTTTCTGGGACAGGCTTATTTTGTTAGCTCAGTCCACAAGTTCTTAATTGGGTTTATGTCAGAACTTTGGGGAGGCCACTCGGAAACCTTTATTCTAGCCTGAGTTAGCCATTTCTCTACCATGTGTCTGGAGGTAATCCAGCTTCTTCGTACCACAGACAGCAAAACAGCACAAAGCATAATACTGCCACCACCGTGCTTGACAGCTGTGTCAGATTATGTGTCAGTGGTTCAATGTATTTTGGCTGTTAAATGTTTTCTCACGTCCGTCTGGAGCGTCTGATTTCGTTCTCTGCATCAGAGCCTGCATGGCTGTGGCTGAACCTGCTGGGCGGCGCCTGCATGTCCATGTTGGGGGGGGCTCTGAAACGCTCCAGAAAGGAATCTGGTCTCTCATTCTCCTCAGTCAAACTCTTCTGAGCCCATTCTCTCAGAGTCATCACCATACCGACTATCCTGAGGACGGACAGACAAAAAGATGACGAGACTAAAGTCTGAGCAGATGTTGCATTAGTTGTCATCTGTAGTGTGGAAAAAAGCTTTAGAACTACAATTAGCACAATCACTCAGTGACGCTAAATAAACAGTAAGACATGATTTTGTATATTCTCAGCTGGCTTACCTGGACAGAGCCCCTCGCCCACGAAAAGAATTCTGGGAGTTTATATCTCTCCTGTCGATGGCTGCCATTCTCTGCAGCTCTGAGGAAGTGTCGTCACACACCGACTGTCCTCTACACATTCACACATGACAAACATACAAAAAAGACTCATTCAGTGACAACTGTCTCCAGCACTGAGACAGCTTGGTCAGCCTTAACTACCACTCTTGATCTAAGAACTAAGAGATGTTGGCCTGGTGATCTACGCAAGCGACATGAGACACAGGAGTGCAACAGCTTTGGCAGATATGCTGGGACTAGTCTGTGCAAGCACTTAGAAGCAAGAAACGAAATGTTATAGTTAATCCTACTGACCAAGCAGCAACTGTAAGGATGCAAGGAGAGGGGATATTTTGTCCTGCTTATGTGCACCAGTCATGAACCTAATAGTCTGTCTCACTGGATATAGGATGCAGGAATAAGCCTGCTCATTTCAGGCTGTTTTGTCCTTCCCTTCTGCTATCCGATGTTTTCCAAATCCAATTTACTGCAGACTACAACAACAGTAACCTCACTGCAAATCTAATGTTTTGGAGTGGAGTAGATTGTGCAGTAAGGCAGCTCTGATGGCTCCTTTTTGGTGTAATATCCATTTTAACGACAGTGCTCATGTCCTGAACAAACGCTCCAACACAACACTTCCATTTTTAAACTGAAGCCGCATCCTTTTCTATTTGTTTTTGTCCACTACAGCAGAATGATTGAGAGGTGCAGCCAAACCACAGATTTCTACAAAAGTGGCCGGCTAAGCGAGACAAGCAGCCTCGTTTTGGCATTCTGAAACAACTGCAAGTGCTGGTAAATAAAAGTACGAAAGACCTTCTCAAGATCTGTAAAGGAAAGGACGGAAGGGTTTGATTGACTTCTAATTTGATCTACAAAACTAAATTTAAAGAGGATTCCAAAACAACACCAAGGTTCTCTACATGAAACTTCCATTATGCTGGAAGTAGAATCCAAGATGCAATAAAAGGAAGTTGAGTGACACAAGCAGAGTAACAATCTAACATTTGTAGAGCCAACAGCAGACAAATGACTGCTTAAGTAAATAATAGAAGAGTCTGTGTCAGGTTCCAACTGCAGAAACTACCTTATTCATAGTTCTGAACACATGGAGACTACACATATGTACACATACCAGTATTACACATGCATAATGAACAATAGTATGAGTGTGTACCTGCTTAATGTGCTGTCGGCTCGGTCGCTCTCCTCTTCCGTCCATGTTTTCACAGACAGTCTGTGAGAATCCTGCACTGGACCCGTCATCCTACACACAAACCACAGCAGGACTCAGTTCAGTTTGTGCACTACAAAAAGAATCACATACAGTCAGACGGACGGATGTGGACCATCACAGTCATTTAATGAAAGGACACGTACAAAAATGAAATGCAACTGACGCTCACAAACTGATGAGCGTACACACATCTCCAGCGCACACATATATACACAATGATGATCCACTTTCAGAAAAGGAAGGTCATCCAGTACGAGGTCATCCTGTATCAGGCATCACCACAGAAACCTGATGGCATAGCAACAAGCTGTACAGTAGTTATGACAACAGATCAAAAGAGGGAGAGACTGAAAGATAGAATGTTCAAATCAACAAACCTGCAAAATTCCCTGATGCTCCAAGTCCAAATTCAATCCATCGGTTCCGTGCACGCCACAGGTTTAGTTACATCCCATCTATTTCTATAAATGTACGAGCCATCAACCTCAAAGGACGGACGAACACACATATGACAGGATGGTTGGATGGATGGAGTGGACAAATGTAACCGATGAAAGGAATGATCACATGGCACTCGAAAATAAAGCATCGTTTTAATTGCAAATTTTGTGCATGTGTGTGAGTGTGCACGTGTGTGTGTGTGTGTGTGTGTTTCTTTTCACCAGCAAGCTCATCTGAATTCAAGAACCTCGTTTGAAGTGGCCTCTGAACTGCTAGTGTGTCTTTGTGAGCACGTATTCTCCTGATTACCGAGAAACACGAGTGTTTTTATGCACACACCTGCACACACGAATTGAGACGTGTCGTTTCAGATCATTTCAGGTGAGGGATTTTATCCCAAAACGTCCCTCAGTTTGGCTACTACAGCATCTTATTGACACACAGATTGGTTAGCAGTGATGGAATATGTTGTTTTCTGGTTTCTAAATCCGCTAAAATAAAATGCAATTCAACCCAACAACACACACACAAAACAAAAAACATATTCAGGGAAATCACAAGTGTTTCTTTGGGACTGAACGTCACACACGATTGGCTGAAGTAGACCCAGGACACATCTTTCAAGCGTTACAGCTGCCTCTCGCTGTTGACATACTAACAGTATTGGTTTGTTAACGCAACTGATCTGTCCCGATTATTTCTCTGTGCTATGTTGCTTTCTCCTTGCCTAACCACAAAACTGCCACTAAAGAAATGCATTTACGATTACATTATAGACTAATGCACAAAACAATATTGTCTCCCAAAGAAGCGTCAGGTGTAATTTCTTGCTACCAACTCACAGAGAATGGAGACCTTTAGATGTAATGAAACATATTAAAATAAAAACTGACTTATTTTAAGACTGAAAAGTTTCTCTTCATTCTCAGGCTGGGTCCTTGTATTGGATCCTTGAAACAATTTACCTGCTTGAAACACAGACACTCTTAAATAAAGGTTTAAATACAGTGATAAAGACCACGTGTATCATGACAGTCTTGAGTTTCAAATGACTCCTATTCTTCTCGTGAGTGATTCCGATTGACTACAGCTGCTGACTCCTCTGAGCCGATTTAAATAGGGGTCACTTGATCCACTCATTGGACTCGACCACACACACTACAGCGGGAAAGTCTGAGGAGTTCGGCAAAAATCTGAGAAAGCAAATCATTGACTTGAACAAGTCAGGTAAGTCACTTGGAGCCATTTCAAAGCAGCTACGGATCCCAAATAATTGTAAGCATAAAGTGCATGGTACAGTTGTGTCTTTGCCATGACCAGGAAGAAAACTCAAATCTATCACCTGCTGCTGAGGGACAGTTGGTCAGGATGGTCAAGAGTCATGCAAGAAGGAAGACCTTCTTCTAGAAGCAGCACCTTAAGGACTGACAGAGGTTTGCTGCTGATCACATGGACAAAGAAAAGGCCTTCTGGATGAAAGTTTTCAGGTCAGAACAAACAAAAATTGAGCTGTTTGGACACAACGACCAAAAATGTGTTTGAAGGACAGAAGTTGAGGCCTTTAAACCTAACAACTCTAAACCTACCATCAAGCACAGTGGTGGCAGTATTATGCTCTGGGGCTGTTATCTAACCAGTGGAACTGGTGCTTTACGCAAAATAGCTGAAATGATGAAGGAGGAGGATCACCTCTGCATTCTTCAGGAAGACCTAAAATCATCAGCCAGAAGGTTGAGTTTTCCAACAAGACGGTAATCCCAAACACATGTGAAAGGTGTGAAGAAATGACTAAATCAGGCCAGAAATTAAGGTTATGGACATTTGATTATTTGGGTCTGTTGGAAACTATCCTGTCTGTTGCCTCACTTAATTTCATTGCTGTGGGGGTTTCTGGAGATACTGAACCCTAGAATAGTTTTCAAGCTAAAACTGTTTCAAAATTCAACAAATATCCAGGTCAGAAACCATGAAATTCTTCAAAAAATTTTTTTTTTTACAGAACTTAGTTTTGGGTCCAAAATAGCAAATAAGTAAACTTAACAAAATCTGAGACAGTCCAGTATTAACAAAGCGTCAAGGACTTAATAAGGGACAAAAAAAGTAAAGAGAAAACCAGAAATCAAGACATATTTGGAAAAATGCTTTTATTCAACATAACTGATCTGATTACACACACTGACGTTTGGGAGTATTGCTTGCATGTAAAACAGCATTTTTGACCACAGTGGTATCCAAACCATCAATAAAGATAACACACCAATTGGAAAGTGCTTTACTGGGAAAGTCTTTGGGAGAAAAGGGGGAAAAAGTGGAATATTAACAGCAGCAGCAACAAACCTGGATGACTTTGAAACATAGCCACATATTCAACTGCAGCATTCGGTCAGAATGCTAGAAATCAATAGTGTCTTAGCTGTAGATGTTTTTTTCCCCTTTAACAATCAGAGTCATTCAATTCAGCTGCTCTGTTACTGCAGTCTGGGAATCATCCTCTCACAAGCAGTGCACAATACAGGCATTCATCATCTTCTCTAAAAAGCAGTAGCAGCTTAAACTCGTTACATTTCTGGTGTTTGAAAAGAAACTTCTGCACAGATCCAACAGAATAATCTGTGTTCATTTTGTTAATTGGGAGCTATGTGTACAACAGCTTTAACTTGTTACTAAGGCGTGTGTTGATTGGCATATTCTGATATATTTCCTGGTTCTTATTCAGTATTCAGGTTTACGTATAAACAATGGAAAAACTGTTGGATTGTAACGTATAAAAAGACGTTTAAGGAGTTTTCTGCATAAATGGAGGTGTTTTTATGAAATAAAAAAGACCCATTAAGATACAAATGTTTCTTTAATCTCTTAAACTAAACAGAAAATCAATTACAAATACCTCAATACATCACAATCAATCAATCCGTCCACTAAATATCCTCATGAGAGTCCTACTGGAAGTAGCTATAAGAGACTTAAAGTGAAATAAAATAAGTATTTGCATTCTAGTGTACATAAACTAGACACAAACTATATTTTAGCACTGCTTTGGTCTGCTTTTTTATTTTTTTTAAAAGGCCCGAAGGGTAAAGATTATTATGGCTTCAGTACAATAAATGCTCTTAGTGTGAACAAGCTGGCACATTGGGAGGTACAGACAGTGACACGTGACATTTTGAGGCATTTTAGCTGATAAAGTGTCATGTATGTTGGGAAAGAAAAAAAAAAGCTGGATTACAAAGATAAAATCACAGCAAAATACTATTAAAGAGGGGGAAAAAAAAACAGATTAAAAATGTTGGACAGAGATGTGAAGTGCTGACTGTCTTAGTATGTATCTCGTGTGTCACAGCTTTTAAGACACAAGTTCTCATTTTCTCAACAGGTTTTCACTGCATAGGGTCACATGTGGGCATCTATACCAGCAGACCCTCCAGTTTAGACACATTCACGCTGATGTTCACGTCTACGAGCAGTAGGAGGATGCTGATCGCTCTGCAACCACACGGCCCTAAAGTTAAACTGACATCCAGAAAATACCCAAACCAAAGCTAAATATTATTGTCATGTAGTCGGTATAGCAGTTCCACTTTCCTAAAACGTCTGTGGCTATCCAGAAATTCTAATTCCTTTTGAGCTCCGCATTGTTTGCGTCGATCTACACAATGGACGCAGAGTAGATTCACTTCTGTTTTGGCTACCACTGAAAAACCACTTAAAAGAACGAGACAGTAAAGCTGTGTTCACTCTCTTCACCAAACCCAGCCGGTCACTACGTGTGTGGTTGTGTGTACTCTATGTTCACGCGTGTCTCCTTTTAAGCCCTCTTCATTCCTCTCCCCATCAGGCAGGCGAAGATGGTCATCACCATTTTCTGGTTGACTTCTACCAGGTCCTCAGGCAGGGCGTAGACTTTGGCGCCGATCTTCCTGGCCATTGAGATGGCGTACCTGGTGCGAGAAAGAGGCACAGTTCAGATCACTAAGAAAACACATCTGATAATAATCCCATTTTTAAAAGTTAAACCTGCAGCCACTAAAATTATGTTGTTGTTTTTCCCAGCAAGTTTGTCAAAACTGAACTTGTGATGGGACTTTCCAGGTATCATAGCTTTTGTTGGCTTCGTCTCAAGTATGTTTCTTCACAGTGACGTACAGATAGACAGCAACTACAAATAAATACTCAGAAAGATACAAGAAGGTGATTACTTGGCATTGCTCAGCTTGTCTTCGTCCGAGAGATTCCCTTTTTTTACCAGCTCAAAGTTCACACTCTGTGGCTGGATGGAATCAATCAGGTCCAGAACTGGAATACTGGAACTGATCGTTTTGTCCTGAACAGAGGAAAATACACACATAAACACATCACACACTGGTCCACAAGTGGCCTCTAACTATAAAGAAATAATTATTTGACATTATCAGAACACACCATACATTACACAACAGAAGTGAGCGCACAGTGTCACTAATATGATTTAAAGTTGTACCACCCGACACTGATCGGATTGAACAGTTTTGCTCTTGTGTAAAATTAAAAACTAACAATTTATATTGAATATATTTTTTAAAAATCAGGCCCCACAGTAATAACTTAACACAGCTCCCATAACATCACACTCCACCTTCGTGCTTCACTGTCAGGACGATGCATTCACTGTGGTCTCCCTGACCAGGTTTATGACATATATATAGTTTGTTTTTTCTAGAATAGAGGCTGATGTTATGCAATGTCCTACACACTGTCTGAGCTGTCACACAAACTCTGATTTCCACTGATAATCCCTGTGCTACGTCTGAAGTAGATGCTTAGCTTTTGTTTTTAGAGCTGCTGTCCATTGCCTTATTTTGGGAGGAAAGCCAATGTAGCCCCGTTTACACGTAGCAAAAACTGTGATATTTCAATGCATTTGGGCCTTTGGTTTACACATAAACAAAGCTACGAGTCACTGAAAATGATCATATCTGAAAACTCCGGCCACAGTGGAGGTTTGGAAAAACTCTGTCTTTATATTTGCATGTAGACAGGAGGAGACGGAGTCTGACATCACAGTATGCGACAAAAGCAGCATCAGTGTCATATGTGTTCAACCCCGCTGGGTACTGTTGTAAAAACAGTGCCAATATGTTCATATACTTGGATTGACATGTTTCCCAGTCAATATTTTTAAGTATTTTACTTGTTTTGTATCATAACACCACATTTAGGAGTCGCTCCACTTCTCTGTCGGCCCAAGCAAACAACCCTCGTGCCATAATCGTTGAAGTAACAGGAAGTAGTTTGTTGTTGTGTTTTTTCCAGGATTCTGATTGGCTAGCATGGCGTTATGCTTCTCGTTACACTGTCCCCTCTAGGTTTTGGTATAGCAGCTTTTAACGACGTGTTCATGAGGGTTTGTATAAACGAAGATTTTTTGTTAGTGTTTTGTTAGTTTTGAAAACGTAGATCCGTTTTTGTAAACACACGGCCATGTGTAAACGTGGCTTAAGTCTTGTTCTATACTTCCTAATTATTGCTGCAGCTTTGTTTGAACTGTTTTTTAATTGGTTTCTGATCCTCTTTGCTTTTCCATCTTTGTAAAGTCTCAGAATGAGATTTTTCAGTTCCTATGGCAATTCTTGTCCATGTGGAGCCATGACATGTAGACAGACACAGTCCAAAGATTCAACTCTGAGAAAGCTGAAGAGTTCACAGCTCACTTTATAACCATGTTCATGCAGTTAGGCTGAATGGAAATCATAACCATATTTAATTTAGTTTAGTTTAAGGATTGAAGGTCTTCTAACTTTTGTGTCATCACAGGTGTGTTCACTTTGTTTGTACTGAACTTCTACTTTATGGCCTGTATTTTCAATATAATCTTTCTAAAGAATGTGCTTTTGAGTGCTCATAGGAAGAAATAGTCAACTTAAGGATAATGTGATTACTGACAGATGGAGCAATTTAGATATTTGGTATCATTTACTGGGAAGTGATATTGCACTGGGCTGTACTAAGTTCTGTTATATGCTGTCTATTTATTATTATACCTCAGATTACTAGTTTAATTTCTCCTGCACCAAAGACAAAAGTGAAGCTCTTCACTCACCTTAAAGCTTTTGATAGATGAGCTCTTGCCAGCTCCAGCCAAAGTCTTGTTTGTCCACGTGATTATCAGATCATCTCCCGCAACGTCTCCATCTCCAAGGTTTTCCAGGATATTTAAAGTGTACCTGCATATGGATGTAAGAATATCAGCCATTTTTATTATCAGTGACACTGTGACATCGTGTGTGATCTCTTGTGGACTAATGTTTTTGTTAACACAGTGTAGTGATGCTTCGCTGGTGATTCTAGTGTGTTTCTTTCTTAGGGCTTCACTAAATGGAACAAACTTGCTGAAAATACTGTGACACTGTCAGAAACTGTGGCTGCTTAAATTGTTTACTGAAAGAACAGCGCCCTCTCCCTGTTCTGGGCTGTACTGCAACTCCAACATCCCCCGCGTGGAGGCCACGAGATGCTGGCTTACGCCCTCGGTGGTGTTTGTTTGTTTATCGTTATGTTGTTGTCTCAAAAACGACAACACAGGTATTGAACTGAAGTTTATCTATTGGGAGTAAATCACCTCCTCATCAGCTGCCACACCAGAGCCAGGGTCAGAGTTTCGTTTCCATCGAACAGGTCCTGTCCGCCAATTCCCACCAAAGAAAAACCGGCTTTCTCCTTACCCAGCTCCACAGCATAGTTACAGTTTTCAATCTGTCAGGAACAAACACACAGAACTCTAGTAACTGTAGCTCCTCTTGTTGCATGTACATAGAAAGTCATGCACAGGCAGAAACACCATAAATGTACCATATATATGAAAAATGTTATAAAAATGTAATATTTATGTATAACACAATGTTAATTCACTTTGTTTCTTTTTTGTTTTTTTACAAAATTATTCTGTAACAGATTTATATTTTAACAAATACTTGCGTCTACCTTTTTTATATGGCCTCCTCCTCCCTTGAACGGAGGAAGGTTGACTCTGTTGTCCCAGTCCACGGGCACCTTACACTTTTCATAAAGCTGCAGAATCACTATGGCATCCATCAGATCACTGCAGACACACGGATGTGACGTGAACATGTATGTATTTCACCAATAAATTGTACATCACTGTGGCAATTAAGATTTATGTTATAATCTGATAGAAACTGACCCGTAGATGCGGTGAACATGTGGACTGACTCCAAGAGAGTTCATCCAGTTCCTGAAGGTTCTCTCCTCCCTGGTCTCACCTTTGGATAAAGTCAACCAGTTACTTGTGAAGAAAGCTACTTCCAACACGTATGGACGTGGGTGAACGTGCATGTGATAAAGAGGGATTATTCATCCACGCTTACTTGAAACAGTCCATTCCTGGTCGCTTGGTTTGGTGAGAGCTGGGTGTTTGTTGAAAAGCGTGGCCACAAAGGCCATGTTGAGCTTTGCGTTTCCACACACGACATCAGTAGCTGTTACAAACTGTCGGCACTCGAGGCGGTCGGCCTGGACCAGCATGCAATCGGCTCTCTTCATAAGATCATTCTCCTGGTGACACACACAGAATAAAAGTGTTGTGCTTTCAAATATTTCACGAAATAACCCTGACCAAGTGATGCAAAGCTGCCGGAAAACTGATATTTGGGAGCTGCTGTCATGACTAAGGACTGCACGGTGGCTCAGTGGTTAGCACCGGCGCCTCCCAGCTACAAGATCACTGGTTCACATCACGGATAGGACGCCGGGATCTTTCTGCGTGGAGTCTCCATGTTCTCCCCGTGCAGCGTGGGTTCTCTCCGGGTTCTCCTGCTTCCTCCCACACAGTCCAAAAACATGTTGAGGTTAATTGGTGATTCTAAATTGTCCGTAGGTGTGAATGTGAGTGTGCTTGGTTGTCTGTCTCTAAGTGTAGCCCTGTGATAGACTGGTTACCTGTCCAGGGTGTAATACTGAAAAAAAGCACTGTATGAACAGTGTAAGGGGAAGGAACAGGTTTAAAAAGAAAAGCGTGCACCTTTTCTTAAAAGACTCAGTCAGAATATAACGAGCTGAATATATTCTTACAGGAAAGAGGCTGACACAAACTCAGCTTCCATTCAGCCTCTGATAGCCAAATAAAATGCTTCAGCTGAGCTCAGACTGAACAGCAACTGGCCATGTCCAGTTTCAGCGGCATGTGTGTGTGTGTCTCTATTGTGTGCGTATATATTGGTTATGTCTAACTAAAATAACAGAAAACTGTCAACAAATGCAATGTGTTTTGTTGTCTCAAGACAAAACGCGGCACGTCATAGCTGTTAACTCACATGTACACCAGACATATCAATGTCAACCCGGGGATGTTCCTCATTGCTGCCATCTGGAGCAATCTGCTGAAGCAGGTGGTAGTACGCCTTGGAGTCCTGCACAGACACAGAACAGAAATGGAAATGTCTTTTTTCAAGAGTACGTTGGCCAAGATGTGCAGCAACAATGAATACAGACAAACAAAAAGAGTCTCGAGAACACATCACAGGATCAGAGTGACAATCACAGCAGTCCAGTTCATGAAGGGACTTTCCATAAAATCAATGAATTAAAATGACACCTGGGAGAAGAAGCAGGGGTCTAATAATAATTTCAGGCATTTTCTGACCTTAATATCCCCAGAAAAGTTTGTTATGCTCATGCCGACTTTCTTTAAGTGGAAGTTGGCCCAGCGCAGCAGCAGCTCTTCAGGACTGAGCTTCAGCAACTCTTCCAGACTCTCGCCTTCCTCGAGCAACGCTGCTATAGCTGCACACAGAAGAGAAGAGAATGCATGTTTAGCTTTAAGGTCCCATCTTGTTTTTGTAAATAAAATTCAATCTGTGTGTCATTTGCACAGTTCTGCATCCACGCACAAGTCTGGCTGTGGATTCATTTGTACCTTCATTTCGGCTCAGCTCTATATCAGCGAAGAGTCCTATCTTGATGATTTGCCAGAGGAGTCCGAGCACCAGGTGAGGTTTTCCCTCCTTCAGATCCTGAGCTCCGATATTGACAACCTGACAACCGATGGCTGAGGCTGAGTTCAGAGCCAAGTTCAGATTCTCCTGTTAGGGGAATAAAAAGTTGGAGATGTGAAGTCAGGGGGGAGCTGACAGCTACACAACATAACTGACTAACTTATTTTATTGTTGGACATCTAGTGGAGTTAAACACAAAGTAAGAAACTGAGTAAGAAGTAGAATCTAACACACATTTATGGTGAAAGGAGTGAGTTTCTTGATGTTGATGGTTCTCTCATCGATGGTGTCCGGCACAGAGAGGTTGATGAGTTTACTGCAACAACAAATGTGAGGGAAAAAAAACATGTAAGGCACTGACCTGAGGTAACACCTAAAACCAGCATTCAAATGAAAGGGACAATAAAGTCATAGTTTACCAAAGCACAATGCCATCTGCCACAGCTTTGAACAGGGCTTCAGTGTTGGGATTAATAGGCAAAACATGTTTACAGTCCGGATCCGACTCCAAAGAAGAGTTGATGTAGTTGGCAAAGGCAAAGCGCTCCTGCTCTGAAATACAGTGAAGTCAGGAGTCTGATGATGTTTCAATACAAGTTCGGTAACAACTGATAATCTATTGATCCCAGATGTTAAAACCCATGCATTAAACAACTTCTTTGGCTTTACTAACCGGAGATCGAATGTTGAGTTCCTTCACTGGAGATCTCGCTTGTGCCCCCGATGGCTACAATGCCTTCCTTCTTGTTGAGAGCTGTCCTGAAACCCGTGGCCAACTTGTCATCCTTTAGATCCTTGAAGATCTGAATGCGCACACACAAAAAAACCCAGTTTAGAGTCGTTCCAACTGAAGCTGCTCCATGTTTATCAAGACATCAATCAATATAGTTAATTACTTAGTATTTTAGTTCCTCCATTTCCATCGGTTAGTTTCAAAATCAGTAAACATCACAGACAGCAGAAAAGTGATCAAACACATTTTAGCACAATATTGGTAGTCAGCTATTAAGACAGGGTTTAGATATTAGTGAGTGAGTGAGTGAGTGAGTGAGTGAGT